TAACTGGCCTGCGGTAAGTCCAACGTATCTCCGAACCTTTAAAATTACATATTTTAATATAATTGCATTACATATTTAAAGTTGATCACTTACCACATAGCATTTATTTTCTGGTGTTAAAGCTAGCAAGTGTTGCTGTCTAACAAGAAACATATTATATCTATGAACATTTTGCACACGATATATTTCTTGAACATGGAAATTTCTAAATTCTTCACGTAATGTATTATATTCACTTGTACAGCTTGGAAGAATGGTTTTACTCTCATAATTCCAATCTAATGGAACAAATTTCCTTAAATCCATTGTCACTCTGTTGATAAAGATTGTATGAACGATATTCTGGAACAACTACAAAACCGTCGTATAGATTTGCTATATATAGATGGAAAGAAAATACATAAATGCAGGGGATTCCCCTATTTATTTTTACGTGAATTCTGCCATCTAGCGGATGAGTTTTACTTTATTAACCACGCCCAAAACATGCAAATCAAATAGTACATTTTCAAATAATAAATGAAAACAATATTATTTCGTGTGTATTTAACATAAGTAACGACGGACCTTCAAATCAAAGCAATCAATTCGTTCGTTAAATTACATACAATATATGCAATCCAATATACATAGAACGGGTCTAAATTGCAAGCCCGACAACCGAAAGATCGTCTTTTGAAATCCCGACGTTCGAAATACCGACTATATCAAAATCTCGACAACCATAATTCCGTTTGATTAATAATATTTTATTGTTATTAAAAATAAAAATGTAGCACAAGGTGACTATGCTCCGAAATAATTTAAAAATGTTATTGTAGACATTTTCGTTATAGTCGGGATTATGGTTGTCGAGATTTTGATATAGTCGGGATTTCGAAAGTCGGTTGTCGGGCTTGCGATATAGACCCAAAAAAATCTGCCAATTCATTTACTGTAGAAATTAGAGACAAAAGGATTTTTACAACTTATTTCCTTTTTATTTAACTTCATACAACATTTTAACAAAATCAAATCTCACAAAGCAAAACTGAAAACTTTGTATAATATTACATAAAACTATAACAATATCAAATTTATTCCAATAAACGAATAACAGAGTTATTTATTACTATAAAATATTATTTTATTTCTTATATTTTCACAGAAAATATGACTTTAAAAAGGAAGGAATGTCTATATATCAATTGTTCAAATAAATCTTGGATAATAAATTTGTTTCTGCAAATTTCCTCATTCTCTCATTTCCTACGTGCACATAAACATTGCAATCATTACTATTATCAGAAACTTTTTTCCCTGTTGCAAAATTTCTTGCTAATGTAGAACTGGACGCTTTGAGGGAGTATTTGTATTTTGTGTAATTTTATTGCTTATAAGCAGCGCGTTCCACGGAATACATTTCTTTCCCACGTTGAAGTACCTAATTTCGAAAATTTAAATTTATTTGTAAAGAGATTTTTAACGGATGTTTATGTTTGCATATTTGTATTCTACGACACATATTTTATTAGATTTCTTTCTTATTTTGCATCAGCAAACAAAAATTATTATATTGGTCGGCTATTCACGTTGTGGAGTTTCAATTGTTGGGAATTTAATGAAATTCGTTGAGTTTTACATAACTTTATTAGTTGCTTGGTCGATTTGAGATTCATCTATTAACAATAACAATTATAATAATGGTTGGACACAATAATGCACTATATTGTACAGATACTAATGCTGACGTGTAAGTATTATTTTTAATTGATATTGATTGTAAGAACATTACAATTATCAGTAAGTTATGAGTGGAGACCACAAAAGATTATTTCGTAGTAATATCAATAGCCAATGGAATTTCATTCGTACTCGTTTTGTTGAAAAAAATAATTGGTCATCTTGTTAAATTGTTACTTGATTTATTCACATTTATTTATTTTTTTGGTCGTAAATCGAAAAATTGCCAAAATTAAATAGGCTGCCTTCTTTATGTGTATAGCCAGGTATATGTGTATTATTATTATTCATATCATATAAGTAATCAACAATCATCAACAATAGATTTATTAAGTTTACAACACTATAATTTGAAAATATATAAATAATCAATAACTACTTATTGATACTGCCGATAAGTCGAACATGACTCATTGTCAGTTACATCTCAAATTTAGTTGATTTATCATAACGATTGTGCTCGGGAAATAACTATATGATTGTATAATTTAAGAAAATAGTGTTTGATACAATAATCTTTACTGAGCTATTAATGGATAGGTATCTTTAAGTAATATACAGAACAATAGAATCTCGCTTAACGAGTATCTTGCATAACGAGTAATAAAATGACTCGCTTAACGAGTGACGAGGAGAATAGAAATACCGGATTGTGCACCTACTACATTATTTTCCAAACATGTATGATTTTTTTTATACTTTAAAAACTGTCCCGAAGAAAAAGCCGCAAGAAGATAGTCATAGGAGAACAAAAGAAGAGAATTAGATTAGATGAATCATAAATAATAAACTATTTATTTCGTTTTTGTTTTCTGCAAATTTGCATTTCAGGTTAGTTCATTTCGCTATAGAAGAAAAGAGAAAGGCGATTCACACTCCTTAACAATGTATATATAGAGTCGATTCCGTTTAATGGAGACATATCGGGACTAGTATATATGTCCCAATTAAGCGTCTCGACTATGTTTCCGACTTTAGGATTTGTCCCGAATAAGCGGCTGACCCGATTAAGCGAAATCTGGTCAGCCTTGATAACGGAATTTCATTTCAACAATCTTTCTGCATTTAAAAACATTTCTAAGAACAACAAACTCACTAATTCAACATCTTTCAATTGTTTCATTACCTATATATATGTAGAAAAACATGTTCTTATTCTATTTTATACTTTAAAAAAGTTCACTACAAGGCACTTCTATTTAGCAAAGTTATTTGCTCATTCCTTATATAGCATATTGATAGCAAATTTTAGAAAAATGTATAACTATTTTTTAGAAATGTTCATTAGTTCCAGGATTGGATTCCTTCAAAATTGTAAACAATTATAAGCAGGATTCTTAACATTATATCTGTCGCCTACTTGACCTTCCTTGGTAACCTTATTTCAAAAAAAGTAAACTTTTCTATTACTACTATAGTTCTTAAATAAAATTCATAACATTATGTATGATATGTAGAAATCGGAATCTCGTTTAGGAATAAAAGGATTCTCGTCTACATTACTGGTTACTACAACGACTGTTTCTTTAGTAAAATCGATTTTATCAACATTTTTTTCAAATTTGTAACCCCCATCAGGTACTTCAATCCTTAGATCGAGATTATGCCGAAGAACCGATTCTAAATATTCTTTGGGTATTCTAACGTATCTCCGATCCTATAATATTTCATATACAGTTTCAATTGCATTAAATATTTAATATTGTTCGCTTACTAAATAATATGTTCCTCCTGGTGTTAAAGCTAGTAAATGTTGCTGTCTAACTAGAAATATGTTATATCTCAAAACATTTTGTACTCTAATAAGTTTTCCAACACATTTGATTTTATTACATTGTTGTGGCCAACCACTTTATTATTAATTATTGATATAAACAAGCCTATCGGCACTTGAAACATCCGCTTATCCGCAGTGATTCCCAAAGTGGTCTATATCGACCCCCAGGGATCTATGACAACATAGGGGGGTCTACGTCAGGGAAAAAAAAATTGGGGGTCCACGATAGTGGATCTCAACGTACATTGATGGTACCTATTTATTTACATTTTACTATCTTATAATATAAAGACTTAAACATTATTTATAAAAGTTCCTATGAAGTAAAAAAAAATTATATATGTTTATAAAATTGTGTTGTAGAAAAAGTTGTAGGATGTAGGCATTGGCTTTGTGGTCGCAATATATTTTGAACCTGCACATAATGATATACCAGTATCATCTTGTTACAAGCATACGCACAGTCTCAGAGCAAAGATATTAATAATTATAAAAATGTCCCAATGTAAATAATAAATTTACAAAAAATCAATCAATCGGGATTTTGATAGACGGGATTTCGGTTGTCGGGCTTGCGATTGCCACCGATATGTAGAACGTTAAAATGAACATAAATACTTTGTTATCATTAATTGTTATGAGCTGATAAAATGATTTTATTTTCCTCAAATAATAGTAAAAAAAAATATTTTATATTAGAATTTATTTATGTATAGAATGTACTTTTTTTTCTTATGTATGATGTTTGGTCAATAAATTATTATTATTAGTAAAATTAGTTAATATTTCCTAAATTAATATTCTATTATTTAAAATCGGCTCTAATTTAATTTGTCAACAGTATGTATATTTGTAATCCTCATATAAAATACATATTTAAAAAAAGATAATAATGTTGGTGACATTATTTTTTATGAAATATTCAAGAGAATTCCCAAAATATATGAATGTATACTAAATATGTTTTTGTTATCTTATCTTAATTTCCAAATAGGGCCGAAAGAGATTTATATTTTATCCAATTTTATCTTAATTTCCATTCATGAAGAATGTTTATTTAACATGTATCAGCAAATAACAAATCGTGCTATATAAAAACATTGTTCTTAAATTACTTGTTATTAATTAATTACATATAAAAATAATAAATAGATATTTACAGATATGCCACCAAAAGTACAAGAATATACAGGGCATTGTCGTGCATTAGCGAATCTATGAAAATCTTTTTTTTGGTACGCATGATATAAACGCTATTATTTTAAGGCCCTAATTACGCCACAATTTCAATGCTTATTGACACGATACCTTCTTAAGGAATTTTATGATATGGACGACCAAAGAAAATTTGCTATGAGCCAAACGCAACTTGAAAGCAGTTTAAAAAATAAATCAATTAACCAATTACAAATCAATAAAAAGATTCTGTTTTATTTTTGCATTCCAAATTTGATCCTTAGCAAATTCATTTGTATAATATGTTTAATTTTAAGTTTGTGACCATGCTTGTCAATGTTTGAGTGTGTGCAAGTCATCTGTGGTGATCTGTGGTTTATAAATTTGGGAGGTTTTGTTCGTAGTTACTTTTATTAATTATTAAACTATGGCCGGTGTCAAAGTAATTGAAGATGAAGCGCACTTCCAAAATGAATTGTCTTTAGCTGCGGCCAAACTGGTCGTCGCTGATTTTACTGCCAGTTGGTAAATATAACCTTTAAATATTTTGATGATCATTGTTTTCCTATAAGAAATCCTTTTGCAGGTGCGGTCCTTGCCAGAGGATTGCTCCAGTCTTCCAGCAGTTGGCTGGGAAGTACCCAAATGCTGTCTTCCTAAAGATTGATGTGGATAAGTGCCAGGACACTGCTGCTGCCCAAGGAGTCTCTGCTATGCCAACATTTATCTTCTATCGTAATAAGGTAACAATTTAATCAGTATTAACAATTCTTGGTAGTGAGGCAGTAGAAACTGTGAGCTAGTTAAATGTAAAGTATTTAAATGTGGAAAAGAAGATTTAGATTGTGCATAAAAAGCATATATATTTATAAAAATAATATAATTAATGTTACAAATAATCAAAGGGGCAAATATCTTAATAGTTGGCATTCATTTAAACAAAGGTTGGTTTTGGGGCCTTTTCTTCATAAGCTGGCTTGTTGAGAGCAGCTACCCAAGCGCTGCCATTTTCACCTTGAGATATTGCTGTGATCATACCTCTGGCGACATTTTCAGCTCTGAAAAACGATCGTTATTAATACATAATTTTCGTAGCAACAGTGCAACTTACGGTTGTAACGGCATAGCCATCAGTTGGTCATTGGCGTATTTGGTGAGGCCATCAAAAGCTTCCAATCCCTTGACTTGTTTAAGTAGAATTGTGTCTGTAATGCCTGGACAGATTGTGACTACCTTGACACCGGTGCGGTCGTAGTAGAATGGGGTACCGAACGCTCGGTCAAAGTTGACCACAAAGTGTTTGGTGCCACTGTACACTGGTCCACTTGCAATTGCTTGTAATCCCAGAATGGATCCGGTATTGACAATAACGCCACCCTTGCCGTTCTTATCCTTACCCATGTACTGGAAACCAAGGAGCGTTCCCTGAACGACAGCATTCTAAAAAGATGTTCCATTCAAAAACTATTTCTTGAAGTAAAAGTTTAATACACACAATATTGACTGCAATGGTCATCTCCCAATTGACTTCATCGAAGATACCGGCATTGTTGCAAACGATGTCCAGACCACCAAATTTGGTGAAGGCCATCTTGAACGCGCCTTAAAGAAAAAGAAAATAGTCACTCAGTTTAATCAGTAATTCACTGACTCACTTTCCAGCTGCTGCTTGTTGGTGACATCGACCTTCATAAAGTAGACTTTGTCTCCCAATTCTTTGGAGTACTTTTCTCCAAGTGTGCTGTTTACATCAGCCATCACGACTCCCTAAATTTCGATAAGTCTATGCAACGATCCTAATAGTTTGATAGCTGACAATATTCCTTACCTTAACTCCATTTTTCAAGAGTTCCCTGACCATGCAAATGCCAATACCGTTGGCTCCTCCGGTAACGAGGGCTACTTTTCCGTTAAAGTTGTAGGACATATTATCGTCGTCTGGGCACGTCTATGTGAAATGCAAGTTGAAGAAGTCAGTGAGTCTGATTGCAAGCAGATGAAGACGCTCTGTATTTATACCAAAAATAGCCACAATTATCATCGCCCGAAAGGTTAAATAAATATATCGTGATAAAACGATTTGAGTTTGGTGTTTTTTCGTTGGGCATAAACAGAATATGCTCTGTATTGTTGCAGAAATAAGATATTATGCAATGACGTATTTAGTTTTTTTTTGTTATTATTTAACGATTTTGTAATTAAGGAGAAAAATCTTGTCAGCAGTATTTACGAAGTTCTATATTTTGTTATCGTATTGGGCGATTGAAATAGAAATTAATCTGATATTTGTAATTTCATGAGATTTTTTTTATTCGCTTGTGAAAAACCACTTAAACACTACTTGCCATTATTGCAGTAATATTTGACTCATTAATGGGCCAGAATTTCTTAAATTTCTTGTAATACAAATCTATGCATATTTTTAATGAATTTACTGATTTATTAAGACACAATTAAATTAAAAAGGTGGTACAATGCGCGAACCACGTCACACTAGACATGGTCAAAAGGTGGTACAATGCGTGTACCACCGTCCAACAAAGAGTTTGAATACTATTTAAAAACGATCTTTAAGAATCTACATTTAATATTTTTATCGCTTTTTTTTTCACCTATCTTTTGTTGTTTATATCTGATATTCATTATTTACATTTGCAGACGAAAGTTGACCGACTCCAAGGAGCGGATCCAAGTTCATTGGAAAATAAAATTAAGCAATATTATGGATCAGCTGAAGGGGACGATGCCGAAAGCATCGATGGACATGTAAGTATACGCAAATAACAGTACTGAGCAATTTCTAATAATTTACTACATAGGATTAACACTATTTAAATGCACAATGAAATATACCATGACAGAAACCTTTCAGACTCCTATGCAGTGGAACCTCGCTTAACGAGCACCTTCGCATAATGAGCATTTCGCTTAACGAGCAAAATGTAAGAAAAATGACTTGTAATGAGTGTCGATGAGAAGAGAAGTCCCGGATTGCGCGCTTGCTACATCATTTTCAAAAATTTTGTACACATATTGTGTGTATATTTTAATATGTTTCACTATACGAGTAAAAAAACGGAAATTTTGGAACGGATTAAATTCGACGTTCCACTGTTATTGTATTTCATCATTTAACACTCTATTAATAAACGTCACTTGAGAGGCACATATTATGTATATTACATATCTTTCTTATAATTATTTTGTTTTTGTTGCCCATTGTTACAAAATTGAAAATAAAATGTATAAATATAAATGCTTCAGAAAACTATAACTGAAAGGTATTGTTACTTTACAATGACTTCAATGTTAATGACACGTTATTTATTTATTTAAACGTTTTTATTGGCTATCGACTTAGGATTGAATAGAATCAAGAAAAAAAATAGTATTAACAATCATATTAAGTATTGTTTTTTGCCTAAGGATTATGAAATGCCAAAGGTTACATATTCTTTTTATTAACGCAATGATGTAATATTGACGTCTATTTATCTCATGTCTTTAAATAATCATCTTATTTTTTTTTCTTTATAGATAATTTTCATAACATAATTATTTGATTTTATGAGCAATTAAAAACATATCGAACTTTGATAATTAAGAGCACATTTAAAAGTATTAATTTTAGAATTTATAACACAAATTTTGCATTAATTATTACTATGGGATTACATAGGAATGAATAGGAAATCATATCAACAGTTTCTGAAATTTGTGGCGAGAGTTCATTTATTTTTTCGAATTATATTTTTCTAATAAATCGTCTTATTTTATAAGGGTAATATTATTTAATATTAAAGTAACAGATTTTCAAAATTTTTATCTATTTTATTTATTTCTTTTTCTACAGTGTTGTGAATGTTGCCTCTGTTGCTTAGACCTTTACGAAATCTTCGAATGCTGTTGTATCTTTTCCTGTCTAACATCGCATAACAACAGTGATGACGACGACTGTTGTTTCTAAAAATCAAACCGACAATATTTTTAATAAGTATTAATATATTCATCCAAAATTTATAGTCTGCCATTATACACACAAAATTTATATATAATAATTGTTGTATACCGTCATATTTTACTATTTACTGCAGAGCACGTGACAATAAACGTTATATTTTCCTTTACGACTTTTAAATTATACTAACCTTTACTAATGATTTCTATTGCTTTTATATGATGCACTAATTCTCTTCTCTTTGCTTTCTTAGATGGACTTGAATCCTTTTATCACCAAAGCTGAATGCGAATGTTTGAACGAGGCCGACGATCATCCTTTGGCCCACTGTTTGCAAGCCGGAGGTGGATTCTTGCAATCCGACTGCGATGAACAAGTAATAACAAAAAGAAAATAAACTACCGCAATATTTAACTAACATTTAATTCACAGTTGATTATCTCGATAGCGTTTAACCAGGGCGTCAAGATACACAGTTTGAAGTTCAAAGGACCTGCGGACAAGGGTCCTAAGCAGGTGAAGATCTTCATTAATCAGCCGAGAACGTTGGACTTCGATATGGCCGACAGCAACACCAGCGTCCAGGAATTGGAGTAAGTGTTGAATCATAATTTTATGAAATGTGATTATTGAAGATGATCTGTTTTTTTGTCAGTCTGACAACCGATGATTTGGAAGGCAATCCTGTGAACCTGCGTTACGTGAAGTTCCAGAACGTGCAGAATATTCAGCTGTTCGTGAAGAACAATCAGGGCAATGGCGAGGTGACGCAGATCGATCATTTCGCCGTTATCGGATCTCCAATTAGCACAACGAACATGAGCGATTTCAAACGTATTGCTGGAAAGAAGGGCGAGAGCCACTGATAATTGCTAAATAATTTGAGCGTATTTAATAAATAAATAATTTATAATTGAATCTAAAGACCGAACATAAATACAATATTCTTTTGTTATTTAAATAACTTTTATATATACGATTCTAACGTCTATTTGTTTCTAAGCCTTAATTTACAATTTAAACAACCACAACCAAACAATCAAATTTTTGAAAAGCACAAAGTAACAACAAAGTGGTTACTGTTTTTGCGATGATCTTTAATATATGTTAACTTGTTTGTTATTAAGTTTCATAATTTGGCACTACTTTTACATTACATATTCTTTTGTAGACAAACATGTGTATTCTTTCAGTTATAATTTTTATTCTGCTGCATTTCATATTTTTTAATTTTTGTTAATCAAGTTTATGTCCGGTCGATTAAATTGACATAAATTTATATATTAAAAATCGCTTTATAAGCTTTTGCTAAATAGATTATAAAAAACATTTTAAAGTTTACAATAAACAAAATTCTATTTGTTTATCAAAACAGTGACCAATTACGGTTTCATCAAGTCTTAATTCATAAATAAATTGCTTTCTACTATCTATAATATAAAGATAATGAAGTTAAATATTCTTATTAAGATCGTTGTAACTATTCGCTATTCAGAAGTAATTAAATTGGTAAAAATTAGAGTCTATTTAATATTATGATACCAATATAAAAACTATTTATAGAACGGTTTGCAATAATCTGACCAATTACGATTTCATCAAATGTATAATAACATTTTAATTCGTAAAATGTATTATACTATTGTAAATAAATTAGAATTTATATTAAGTTAACAGACACAGATCTTTGAAAATATTTGAGTATTTAGAACATTATTCTCATTTTTCGCAGGGTAAAAAGTGATAAAAGAAATAAGCCTTGAACTTATGTATTGTATAATATATTAGGTAATAGACTTGCAACTATGTAGAATAGATAGACGAGTTTTAATAGATAATTTAAATTAGATGGTATAGTATTTTTACATGAGTTTAAAGAAATATTGTTAAAATATTACTAATCAGCATTCAACAAGCGTAAAAATTTTGTTGAAAGATATTTAGTCAATAAACGAATTAAAAGGTACTTTATTCATAATTATGAGATATTGAAGCAATCAGAATTTTTTAATTTATGATTTAAGTAGTTTCATATTATATCTACTACTTTCTCCAATTTAAAAAGAATAACGTAAATAGTTATATAATTTAATTACATGATGCCAATTTATAAATAATTACAAATAAATATGTCTGAAAGATTGTTAAGTTTCTTTTGAAAGAACTTTTTTGCCCATGGAAAGTTGTGGGAATGTACTCTTGCTGGGTGGTGGATTCAATTTGCTTGTTAAAAATATGAAGGACTCAAATAATGTTGTCCTCTGCATGGCTGAAGCACAGAAATGCTTGATCCTCTCCCTGCTGCACCAGTTCACTGCTTTATTCAATGTTGAATCATATTCACTTGCATCCAACTCCTTAGTTTTATTGCCAATCACCACAGTTATCACCTGTAAATATTAATATTAAAATCTCAGTAAGAGTTAGATAAATATAATCTTACTTCTTTTTTATCTTTATTCTTATCTATATCCTTCTTTAAGGATATCAGTACATCAAGTGATTCAGGCTTATCTGTATCATACACTAAAACATAGCCATCAGCTAAGACCAAATAGTGCCTGGGTAATTGTTGATTGGTTGTACCATGTGCTGTACTGATTTGAGATTGTTCCAGGCCTGCAGTATCATAAAACCGGACCTTTTCTTTTATTCCTCTGTCAGACTCAATATTTGCTACATAGATATCTTCGATGGTGGGATAGAATTGCTATATTCAAAATGAAAATTTTTAATAGTATGTTGATTCTAATATTGATATGAAAACAAACCATTGAACTATGGACATTACCATATATGACCTGCTCCAATATTGAAGTTTTCCCAACTCCTTTCATTCCACATACTATTACCTTTGCACATTTTCCCATTATTATACTTGAATCACTTAGTTTTTAATGCAATTTTGCATAGTAGTTTATTTAGTATAGAAGGATAAATTTAATATATTTTTTAGTGAATACATTCAAGAGAAAATTATAAAATTACATGTATCATAAAAAATAATTACAATGTTTTTTAGAAATCAACAAAATAATGAGTCGTTTTCACCTTTTCTTTGGAATATTTATGGTTATGTTGGCATTGCTTCTGTCAAAACTGATATTGAATGCAGCTGATGCCGCAATTGACTTTTTGGATTCGGTCGAAGTCGAAGCTATAAACCTATGCTATAAACATGGTGAAGTCTACTAAAAATAATAAATATTCTATATTATTACCCACATATAATGAAGTTGAAAATCTGCCAATCATTATTTGGATGATTGTTAAATACATGGACCAAAGGTTAGTCTTATTGGAATCTCGTAAGTATTCTTATTCTACATGTAATGAAAGTTTTTTGTTTCTAGCAATTATAATTATGAGATAATAATCATTGATGATGGTAGTCCAGATGGCACATTGGATGCAGCCAAGCAGCTGCAATCAATCTATGGTGATTCAAAGATAATACTTAAACCCAGGGAAAAGAAATTGGGTCTTGGCACTGCTTACATTCATGGTATGAAGCATGCAACTGGAAATTTTATTTTAATCATGGATGCTGACCTAAGTCATCATGTAAGTCTTTCTTAAACTCCATCATAAATAATATAGAACACAATTGTTTTTTAGCCAAAATTTATACCTGAATTCATCAAGCTGCAGGAAGCTAATAATTATGATGTGGTCTCTGGTACAAGGTACCTTGGAAATGGTGGTGTATCTGGCTGGGACTTCAAGCGCAAACTCATATCTAGAGGTGCTAATTTCCTCACCCAATTACTGCTCAGGCCAGGAGCTAGTGACTTAACTGGATCATTTAGATTGTATAAGAAGGATGTACTGCAAAAACTCATCGAAAGTTGCGTGTCGAAAGGATACGTCTTCCAGATGGAGATGATCGTGAGAGCGAGACAAATGAAATACACTATCGGTGAAGTGCCAATTACTTTTGTTGATCGCGTCTACGGTGAATCAAAATTGGGAGGATCGGAAATAGTCCAATTCAGTCTGGCCCTTCTACATTTATTCGCCACGACGTAAAAATCGCAAATTCTTGCTGCAATACATTCCCAAATCTGTCTATTACGAATATGTATGTTTAAATTTGATTGTATTGTTTATGAAAAATAAAATAAAGAAGTTTAAATTCTGTAGATAATTCCATCCAAAACAATATTTTGGTTAACTTAAGGTTGTTCACTTGGTTCTTATCTAATCCGAGATATACTAAAAGCGGTTTAAATAATATTCATGTTGCTAAGCAACTTTGATTAAATCAAATAGTCAATGCTGGTCAATTAATTTTAATATTTGTTGTGACGTAGTTTGTTTTTTCATCGTTGTGAGGGGAATAAATAATCCGTTTGAAAACATAATTTAGTATTTTATTTTTTTTGTTATCTTGTAATCACATTTTGTTATATATAAACTAGGTGAACATAATTAAAATTTTACAAAAAATCACATTTCTAAAACACCGTTCTATCATTTATGTAAATCTATATATGCATTCAAATATTCGCACATACACTCAGCATGAAAAAATACTGGGGAGGGGAGTTGGTAAACGAATATCGATATACAATGCAACTGAAGGAAGTAAACACAAATGAACGTAGTAATACTGAGGACGAGGATCCTCTTTACATTTATAAACTAGATATGAAAATATTTCTTTTGTTGTTTAATTAAAGCTACTTCGCTTCGAAAAAATAAAATGAAACTTAAATACAGGAAAATTTTACAGTAAGTGTATGGAGGGGCGGTAATAAACTACGAAACTTAATTAAATGCATTGACACAGAATAATTTACAATATCACTCACACATGTCGCTCACCATTTTCTCCATGTCAATATCAACAAGATCGTGTTGTTCACTCTGAACACCATTCACAGTTTTGTCCACGTCCATACTGGTAGGCGATTGTGGGGTAACCACTGGGGAAGGCGTCGGTACCAGACCATCATCTTCGACACCTTCCGGAGGTTTCAACTTCAACAACATGCTTTTCAAGGTCTCGTAGGACTTCTTGAAAACATCCAAAGTCGTAAAGATGTTTCGCTTATTGCCAGTCCTGTTCGTTCGCTTCTCTATGTTGTCATTCTCTAAATCTCTCAGCCATCGCTCACATTGTTCCATAATTTCTTGGCGCTTGATGTAGAAGTGCGCATAAATTACATCCTTGAAACAAGGGCACGGATTCAAAAGCTGCTCCAACATTGCCCACCTCACCGTGGCCTGGCAAATGTTTGCGTTGTACTCTTTCGAACTTTGGGTACCTGATGGGGTACCCCTAGACCTTTCGTATCCGGGTTCGTTAAAATATGGCTCCGACACTAAAATCAGCGATTGTATAGAGACCAGCACCTGCAGGAAACTTGATGTTTGAGCATTCCACTTCTCCTCTGGCCTTCCGTGCCACGTATTCAACACAGACAAGCAAACTTTCCCATCGTTGTACAAGTTCGGATTGAAGCGTACGCTGTGTAGTCCGGTGGTCTCCAAATTGATCATCATTGGCGCCAAAGGATAGTCCGAAGGGAAGTACACATCGAATTCGAAGCAACCGTTTGCATATGGCGTGTCGGCTGGTCCTGTTATCAGTACCTTCATAATATCTAGGCGATCAGTATCGCATCTTACGAATACCGAACTACTGTGGCTGAGAGGTAAACTTGTTGCCAATGTTACAGCTTCTTGAGCCAAACGCTTGACGCGCGCTGGATGTGAAGATTCTCCAGCTGAACGCACGTTGCCTTCGTAATGGTGGGATATAACAAACTTGTATCCTCCTTCGGGTAACTCGAGGATCATTTCGAACGTATCTAAAAATATAATCATTGTAATATAAGAAGTAATGAATTATGCGTTTAGAATTAATGATTTCACTAACCGAATTGCAGTGTTTTCATAATTTTTAAATATTGTTCTTCGGGAGAAATGGATAACGGCTTTTCGATGGAAGTAATTTTGGAGTTCTCGAACTTGGTATCCATCAATTTGTCGGTGGCCGCGCAAACAAGCTCGGCTGTATTCTTTATGTCTCGCATCAACTTAACCAAACCTTCGTCTCGCTCCATGTCCTCCAATGGAGCACCTACTTTGAACTTGTATTTGCTTGAACCACTTTTGTTGTTAGTCCTGCTCAGAAAATAACATTATTGTGTACGATAGTACAATTTAAATTATACTTTAAATAATAATTAAAAATAAGAAAGATGAATGACATATCCGTGTATTATGTTATTGATGATGCAAATAGAGGGAAAAAAAAAGAAAAACATACGTTTTATTTGATTGTGCTGACCTGAGTTTGGACGCGTATGTGTCCACACAGGTTGTCATATTTTCCAACAACGAACTTATGGACAGCCTACTTTGACTAGCGCTAACTTCTTGTGGTACCAGAAGTTTGACTAATTGGCAACTAACCGCCATGGCACGCAGTAATTCCAGAGCAGCCCGGTATAATGGAATGTGTCGTGCCATATCCAATACTAAAAAAAGAAGAAAATATGTTACGTAACAATTACTCTATTCAAATGTCTTTTATACCTGAATCGTTTCTTAAATAGGAATTGAGGGCAGGCAATAATGCACTACCGGCGAGCAATTCTTCGAAGACGGTAGGAAGCACTCGGGATGTTAGTTCTTCTGTGTCCTTCCCGCTGGGATTGATATAACTGGAGAGCACTTGCAGAAGAACTGTTACATGTTCCTCTTCACTCCTTTGCTTTAATAAAGCCTGTTCGACGTTCCAACTTTGCTGTGTTGAACCAGTTCCAAATCCTGTGCCTTTTGCCCAATACAACTGCCCCTTGTCATCTTTTACTTTACTATCCTTTTGCTGGTTACATTGAGTCTGATGTGTAAATATTCCTAAGCAGGTTAACAGTAGATGTACAACCCCTGTCGAAATACTTAAGCGTCTTAATAAAGTTCCATCGTCAGTTGACAATGGACTACTATCGTACAATCTTCTGAGTACTTCAAACGGTAACGTCGGCAATGAGTCCGCTACTGTACTGTGGAAAATATCAGCGCCTTCACCGTCATCAGTCACGCCCAACACTAAACGTAACAAGCATAGGGCTTTCTTCATATCTTTCAATAATACCTCTGCATATCCTGGTAACCTCAAGAATAAACCGAAAGCTGTGAGCGAGTGCGGAGGTACATTCTGCGCAATTCCTGACACTTTCGTGGGAGTACTGGAACCCGGTCCATCGTCGATATCTTCATAATTATCATCACTCCCTTCAACTTTAATCCAATCGGATTCAGATTGATCGCCGCTTGTCTTTTCAGCAGGCGGAGTTCCAATCGATTCAGGATATACAGTTGGCAGATGTTGGGCCAACAGAGCTAATCCTCCCATTGAGCTGAATACTTGCAGCATACTGCTCAAGGGCATTTGATACATCATATTCACCTTCATTTTGTTATTGTCTTCTTCATTTTTACTTTGGCAAATAGTCAAATGTAAACAAGTTAAATCGGCATGCATTCCTTTCATCTCAATCATTCTCAGTACTTGAGCCAAAGACAATGCCAGTGGAAGTGGTTGATCGCACAATGCGGAGCATTTAACCACTCTGCCTTCAATTGCATCATTTCCATTTGGCTGGTCATTCAGCACATAGCGTTTCTTTTTCGAAATGGGAGTCGAAGTTGCAAGGTTCTTAGCATCTTTAGCCCTTTTATCTTTAGCAGTTACTCCAGCAGCCACGCTCAAATCAGAATCAGCAGCCATAAAACACCAGGTTTTCATGTTGTACATACTGTCTTTCTTAGTTGTATTGTCGGATTTAATTGACGATGAAAAAGATACATGCTGTTCCAGGATGTCAGCAATAGTGGTATTCGTACCTAAATATAGTAATGCACGATCATGGGTTTGCTTGAATGCGGGATGAAGTGGCAAGTACGGATGCAAAACAGTAGAATTTTTATAGAGCGTCTCATCTGCTTTCACGCTCACCGGGATCTTTTCATTCTCCAAGAGAAGTTGTAAAATCAGTCGCCTCAAGAAACCGGAAATGCCATTGCTCTGCTGTATTATCACATCACACAAAACCTTCGCCAACAGCTGTTGATTGTTGGGATGGCACAGGCAGCATTTCGACAAAAAACGTACGCATACCTCCTCGAGGTAAGTGTGCGCCTCTGAGCTCAAATTTGATCGTTTCTCCGTAGTTCTTTGGCAAAGGTATTGTAGCAAAGGTAACCAGAACAACGATCCGTCCCCTGATCCCAACCAATCTCGCATCAATTTTTCTTCGCATATATCCGAAAAGAACTTTAAGATTGCGGTCACATTGTCTACTGTGCACATCGGCGCCTCTTGATTAAGTCCAGTACAGTAATCCAGAATAATAGAATTGAGTAATTTCGGTAATCTGGAATCTAGTAACTGTTGAATGGCAGACGGAGATCTACTCACTAGTGCTATTGTTTCTAAAGAGTCCTTGTTCAAAAATAGATCATTAACGTTCTTAATAATGAGTCGCTCGTACCACTCAGAATTCGATGTAAAGTTTTCCTTGCCGTCATCGGTCATACTTTCAGAATCCTTGCGATCGTCCGAAATAGAAGCGTCGTGATCGGTGCTCAGATTCGGTACAAGAACTCCAATTTTTTGGAGCATCACTGGGAAGAATTCAGTTCTCACATGGCAGATAGAGCAGAGTAGCGAATCAATGGCATATTTCAAAGCTGGGTTTTGTCGTGAGAGCGTTCCGAATTCGTAAATGCGGTAAAATAAGTCGATAGTGATCATACCGTGCAAGTCGTACGCCACATCTGCCTGTTTGGCATCCCAGATGATCGAAGCAATTATAGACACATAAGCTGGACTACAATTCGACACGTTTCTAGTTGTAATGGCTCTACATGCAACCGTTTCCAACCAGTTAAAAACCAAAGCCACGCGATGTACAGTATCTTCATCTTGATGTCCACAGATTCGATAAAGCAATTCACATGCTGATTTGGCACCAGGGGAGTTCATTAACATTTTCCCGCTACCCATGTTCAGAAGAATACTGGGTTCTGTGGTGTTCGGCCTGCTATCTAGCAGAGTCATAATAGTTTGCAATCCGTTATCTCTATTGAATAAACTTAAATCGCATAATACTTTCTCTAAATTTCCTAAGTACAATGCTGGTATATGAGTTGGGACTAGCAGCAATCCGCAACAGGTTGATAGTAAATCTTGTATTTCTGCAGCTTGTGAAACAATTTCGTGTTCTAATTCAGATTCTGCGGATAGCGTGCAGCAATGGTGCAACAATCTTAGCCAGCCTAAACTGTACCTGCAGTGAGATTCATCTTCTGATAAATCCATAACCTGTTGCCTTGCATTACCACCGAACGCTGATGTGCCGAGAAGACGGATTTGCGACAATCCGATATTACTTGCATCGCGTGGTTTGTATAATCTTATTTGAACACAATTCACAACTTCGGGTGTTGGCAAATGCAGACGGATAAACGCCATTCCGCTCGTTGGCAACGGGGGACATGCTGGAACTAATCTCCATGGTCCATCGGCTGAAACTTCGAGGGAAACGGCAGAAGGACACGTGGCCAACGTGCCTTGATGTGGTTGTATGTGCACCTCTCTTAATAGAATGGCACTAGGCAGTTGAATTGTTAAATCTGCATGGGCTTCTTCCGGGTAGAAATGGTATGCCCATTGAGCAGCTCGGGCTCTCCTGTGTGTGGCTTGCCCGCCTTGGATCAAAATTTCAGGCGAATGGGCTGTGCTCGCAGCTGAACAACGGATCGTGCCTTGTGGCGCGAAATTTACCAAGTTCAAATTGTTTTCTAGACTCGCCTGTTGCTGTTTTTTCGTATTGGATGGCACTCCTATGGCGCTAGCCTCCGTTTTCGCATTCTGTCCAATGAAATGTTGCATCACCATTGAAATGTTTCCAATACCTGATATAGTATTTGGCGCGTTACTGCTTTTCACTAAGCTTTCGCATATGATTTTCACACCGCCTAGAAAAAGATTGTTTAGTTATTATTAGCTATTGGACTAAACAGTACTATTCAAATGTTATTTAAACTAAACATACCAGTTTGGACAAATGTTTGCAAAGCTTCTGCAGTATCCAATACTTGAATAATAAACCATATTAATGGTTCACTTAATTGCGGACTTTGTGAGAGGAACATCAGCAAAGGTTCCATCACCAATTCCTTTCTGGAAGCCTTTCTAGCCAATGAAACAAGCACATTGAACACTGAATCACCAACACTTCCTGGCTCTCGGAGATCAGAGAATACGTTCTAGAAATAAGTTAATTAGATATTGCCGACGATCATGACATACAAAAAAAGTATTACCTGCGTATTTAAATAGCTATATGAAATCATGCAAAGAGAAGTTGCTTTACATGTTGCTAAAGCTTTGCAGAATCGAATAATGCTAGGATGATGTTGCAAGACAGTATCAGCTAGACAGGGCACTGGTGGACTGCTTCTTACTCCATTGCTAGGATCCTGGTGGATTTGTTCTGCTTTACTCTCATCGGTTTGCGAATGATTCAACTGATTATCAGTTTCCATGTATTCCTAAAATCAAATAAAACGTAAACAAATATCGGAAACACAGCTTGCAACACAATTATATACAACTTGTTCTGTACTCGTGCTTGGTAATGGCGTCTGCACTAAGCTTCCCAAGAGTTTCAAAAGATAAATGAGTAACACATCCCAGGATACGGGTTTATCTTGCTTGTTTGTTTCTCCACCGAGGACCGATGCAAATATGCTGAATGTGTTCGTGGCTCCACTCAACTTTTCACCGATGTTCACACATTTTATCCTTTCTACATTTGAAACATGGGAATATACCAGTGCAGCTAAAATATATCACACAATAAATATCTATAATAGTTTTAAAAAAAATACTAAGAAAACCTACCAGTACTTTCCAAAATGCTCATGGCAATACTCAAATCAGTGCTACTATATTCTAGGCAAACCAAACACTGTAAGAATTTACATTGGGCATCGAGAGGCCCTAACTTTGAAACAAAAGGTCCAGTAGGTTGAACTAGTTGATATACAACTTTTAACATGTAACTTTTAAACATAGTTCCCATTAAGCTTGAAGAATTCGTAACATCGCAACGCATTTGGAGGCGCATCAAGAAATCATGCATAGCTTTACACACAGCGGGTCCCGCCTAAAAAAACAACAATAAATAAATCAAAAAAATAAATAAATATTAGAATCACACCAATCCTCTTTCTGATAATTGTATACCAGTACCAGAAAGTAGCCTAAGAAGCATCTGCACAAAGTCCGAATGATTGATTATTACAGATACTTTACCGAACATATTTGTTATATCTTCTTCTTCGCCGTCGTTGTTCTCGAAGAATTTACCTTGGCAGATGTTGCACATCATAGTTAATGTTTGTAAAGCCGAGCACCAAGTTCGTAGCGATAAATCTGAACACCAAGCAATTGTAGATATCAATGAGTTGATTGCCTCGACGCTGAGAGCGATCACTGGCATAGTAGCGGGATTAAAATTTTCCTCGGAATTCGGGCAATTCAACGTCAACCACAATTGTAAGATTTGTTCGATTTTGCTGGCATTGTATAAGTCCAAATCTTTAAAGAGCATGTCAAAGCATCCGGTCATCAATGCCGTATTGCTAAGTGAACGAGCTCTTGGTACCGCGTTACTCGCTGGTGCTGTAAGATTTTCAGGCCACTTGGGCACCTTACATTCAACTTCGACAACATTCGCTGGAGAGTTAACATTTTGCATTAGTGTGTGAGTGTTACACAATACTAGCCTTCGCATTATAACTTCAGCCTGACACTCGACTCCGACGTCAAGTCGCTGATCAATTGCGCTTGAACAGCCTGTACTTATTAATGGTGTCTTTGCGTTTTTCCTAAGTATATTTCGGCCGCGTTCCAATACTTCGTCCAAAAATTCCTCGACTTCAGAATCATCGGATTCGAATACGGATGGCAAATGGTTGTTACTTGTGGAAGTTTTACCCTGCTTCGCCATAGGATCTGACATTAATGTATCATCCACATCAAAAGTATCGACTAAGTTGTCCAGGATGTCTACTAGAAAAATAATTCATAAAAATCGTTTTTTGTTGTTATTATGGTAATTACCAGGAGTCCAACTGGTGGAGGGTGCTGGTATATCGACCTCGATTTTTGTAGGAATAGTCTTTCCAACCTCCAAGACATCTTGCAAAAAACATGCCAAAGCATGAGTTGCAAATGGTAATTCGGAACCAATCGATAAATTAATTAGCTTCAATAGCTTTTCTTCGTTCAAATACTCTTCCACCAATAGATTTGATAATTTTACCAATCTCGCTATGACCTTTAGAGAAAAACAATTAAATTCATAAATTTTAGCAGAAATTAATATTTACCTTGCATGAGAGAACAAATAGATCTGCGCTACAAGAATGATCCATGGCTAAAAGCAGAGACACCAATCCCCTCACGACTGTTAAGCAATGTGTCGAATCTACATACTGCGGTTCAGAAATTTGGGAGGCGTTCTTCTCATTGGCAGCCTCCGTTGTATTATCTCGTCGTCGCTTTCCTACTTTTGAAGCAGGAGCCGGTTCTTTTACTTGATCCTTCTTGATTTTAGTTTTTAACTTTGAAAATATACCGTTCGGTCCTTTTAAAGCTTTTTCAAGTTTTTCTGTTAACGTTTGAGCCTGATTTGTAAGCGCGGAGAATGCTTGAGCTGAGCTTTGTACTACTTTCTGATTGTAATCCATGTTCAGTTGGTCTAAATGTTGTTTATACATCAAAAACCTTTTATGTAATTTTCTTCTATAGTTGGAGTGTACACTATCGTTACCTTTACCACCGCCCATCTCTCCCGTAACCCAATCCCACCTGGTAGAGTTTTGGAGTGAGCCTTTAGACAAATCCAATTGCAACGAGAGGAAAAGTAGTTGCCATCCCAATAGTGATAAATCTACAGAAACTCCCAATAATCCTTTGCGATGGTCGTTCATCGGCTGCAATGTCTCTGCAATTACTCTTAGTGTAGAATCGAGAGCTATGCTACGCTCTGAACATCTCTTAGCTAAATAAGCAAGTAGAATGAAGACTCTATCTTGAGGAAATTTCGATGTGTAAGATGATGAGAACATTTCGGCTAATGTGTCGGCCAAAAAGACACCCCAAAAACATTTTTTCCTGCAAGATTGGTCTAAAACAGTGGCCGCCAAGAATTGCAAGTGTGACCTCTGTGTAATACAAAATCCACGGAAGATTTTCTCACACGTTGGAAGCGGTATTTTCGGAATTGTGTCAACGACTAACAGAGCTTCGAGCATCACCTCTGCAATACAACGCAATTTGTCGGTACTAACTTCATCCATGCAAGTGTCCCATGCAGATTTTGTTTGCTTATTCAGAGAGGTTTCGATGCGAGTGATCACATTGCGTACAGTGTTTAATTGACGCTGGTACGTAATTGCCTCTTGGTAGGCGTTGAAGATTTTCATATTATCGAATACCGAGCAATTACTCTTATCTTTCATGATATCCATGTATGCATTCAGATGAGCTGTGTTCGTTGTATCAGACATTAAAAATGGCTGAAGCAAATTTTTCAATTTGGAACAAGCTAAGCTGTATCGACAAGAGACATCTTCGAATAACATCGATAATACATTTAATTGTTTATCCAATTCGGCGTGAGTAGGCGGCGTTATAGCTGCAGCATTCTCCTCGGATATTTCATCAGGGAGCACAATCAGATGTCCATAGAACGAACCAATCGGGATGCGACAACGTGTGGACGACATTCCATAAATGCCGACAGCGGTGATCTTCATATACCGGCACAACGGTGGCGATTGGATATTGCTCATTGCAATGTTCTTTGTGCTAATATCAGTGGATGTAATTAGACAAACCATGTCCGAATCATCGGCAGCTTTTAAACCTATATCAATGCTTATTGAAAGCAATTCCAGGCACATCGGTATGAATAAATCAGTCAATAAAATCGGTTGTCCAAAGTCTAGTGTAACGAAGCGACGAGCACCGGAATGCATCCTCTCCACAACAATTACCTGCTGCGATGGTGCTACAAGTAGCTGCTGCCATGGTAAACTGCGATTAGGCGATAGAATCTCCTCGGCGCACCTGGTGGGTGCTTTAACAGGATATTCATTCATGCTTTCAACAACTTCGGATCCAAGAGCATCTGCGGCAGACGTAATTTTCGGTTTGAAAATTTTGGCAAATCCTTCGTTTGCCATATTCTCACTATATATTAGTACATTGTTCAATAAGCTGTCGTTCATGGAATGACCGTTGCTAGTTCCTGCTGCACTGTTGATAATCTTTTCGGTTTTATCAGGTGCAGACATCAAATCGAAATCGCCTAGTAACTGTTCGACTTCGACTGTCTTTGAAGCGGAATTCACATTAGTCACTGTGAAAGGTACGACATTAGGTATAATATTGTTACTACCCATTTCTGCTCTTTCCATTCTAGTTCCATCGCTTGCAGCAATGCATACAAAATGCAAATGTTCCGTTTCGAGTAAACCCCGAAATAATTTGGATGTTGTTATGTTTTTAAGTTTTAACGATTTCGTTTCGTTCACATTCAATAGTACTTCACGAGCATCTAATATATCCTTATTAAAGGCAAAGTTTGTATGGAAGTCGGAACATGGCGGTACATTTTCTCCGGCTACTACCGATGCATAAGTTACTGTAGAATTCGATGCTTTCATAGGTGAAGGGGCATCTACATCAAATAATTCCGGTTCCAGAGGTGTACCGTAAAGACCATACCTGCTTCTTAGTATCAGATGGTAAGGATTGATGCGTTTATTCAGTTGATCCGCCACTTCAGTCAATAAATTGACACACCTCGCTGTTAACTGTCTCACTAATTCATTATTTTTGGCCACCTTATATATGAGGATAGAAATACAATGTATAGCTCCTGCAGATTTAACTTCATATATTTTTGGTACCAATTCCAATAACGAATTTAATATAGATGTGTCAAAATTATCATTGGAGCTGTTCCTAAAAAAGTTCAAAATTCAATTAATAATTGTCTCATTTATAAGTAGCTAGACTTACTCTGAGCAAAGTACCAAGAGTTTCACACATTTATATGCAATGTTTCGCCCAGAATGGAGTGCACAACTCGTTAGTAAATCTAAAATTTTGGCCTCTACGCATTCAAAGAATTCTGCCTGCTGAGTGTTCGGTTCTTCGCAGCTCCTGTTTCCAGCTATGCGAATTGAAGCAACCCAATTCAAGATATCTAAAGCTACGCATTGCGACTCTTGTAGTGGATCATTGATACACGTCAATAACAAACTTTGAACAAATGATTTTGATTCAAGCATTGAACATCTTAATGAACGTTCGTGCGGGATGTCAGTATGAGTACTGCTGTAAACGGTGATAGTTAATTCGTGTATGCAATCACAGCCCATGTATTCTGCATTTGTTGTACTACCGGAAGGTCGTTTAGCTCGTGTCGAACTGCCGACCGAAGCTATCTCTTCCTTCTTACACACGGATTTTATATGCAATAGTAAATTCCTGTTTCTTGATCGGAAAAGCTTTGGACTTGTGAGCGTTACACATCCTGATTTTTCTGTCAGATCCACGCAATTTGTTATATCAATTGGTCCCGCTAAAATGTCTGCATTGTGAGCTCGTAGATACTCCTGCGATGTAACCGGGTTCTTCGTATTCTCTAATTGATCAAAAGTGACGATGTCATCAACCGAAAATTTCACATCTCTCTTATGACCAATACTCGTAGAGTTTTGTCTCAGTAAAGTGAATTCAACATTAGGAGTATTCGTTGGATTATGCATGACAAAATTAACATCCACGTGGCCAATATTGGTTGGTGTTGGTAAAATAATTTCAAAAACATGTTCGTCCCATGTTGTCGTATCAGTTTGCAATCGCCAAGTCTTTGTTAATTGTTCTTTATCTTTTTGCAGAGCTTGGGGATGCCTACGTTGTCTTGGAGCCTGCTGCATTTCACTCCAGCAAGGCGGAACCACTGGATTAAAGCCACCTTTAAAAGGCTCAAAATTGCAAAGAGAATGCAATCGCTTTAATTCCGCCAATGGAATTATATCAGGAGGATCGTGAAAGCATTGATTTGTTTCCCATCCGTCTGTCGTATCCGTATTCGGATTGATTCCAGACGAGTCCGCATTCGCACTCATCATGTCATCCTCTTCGTGCTCTTCTGTGGAATCACTATCGGTATCATTCAAAGCATAGAAATGAAGCGAACCTTTCTCGGTCGAAGCACATAGCCGTTCTAAACTGTTGCAATACACAGCAGACACAAATTTCTCGGAATCCAACTTGGCTACAGCTATAATTTTTAAATTGGCTAAATCTAAAACACGTACAGCCCCGTCTTCGCATACCATTATAACTAGACCGTCCACTCCTAATTTGTTTTGCGACTCCAAGGTTTTATCTAACACAGGGATTAGGCTAACTTCCACGGGGTTTTCATATGATGCAAGCTCACGTAACATTACACCTTGAGGCTCCACCTTCACCATTCGATCTGAGAAATCGAGGGAGTAAAGCATCAAAGCGGAATTTTTCATATCACAGACGGATTTTAGAACAACCAGAATAAAACGGCCATCCTGGCTGGGTATTATGTTGGAAATCTTAAGATCCTGACGGTTCTTATAAGTGTCAGGTATTGAAATACATTGCACAGCCCTCGAATAATTAAGCTTCTTTCTTTTTGTTTTAGAGTTCTGTATGTCACTGATGTGATCCGAAATGCTCTTCTCCGATTTTTCCGAGGTGAGTTCAAAATCAGACGAAATGACCGCCGCTTGTTCAGATTCCATATCCGCCAACTTCTTGTAATCAATCGGAATTGAACGTGGACCAGGATGTTCCTTCTGTGATGGTATAGTCGGAGGTATAAAAATTGCGTCACTTTCGCCGGGTATTAAATTTTGATACATCGTAAACTCATGCGAGAGAATGTATTTGTCAGCAGCTTCTTTGAGCGGTTTCAATGCGGACATACCGCCAAAACTGTCCATATCGAAAGGAGGAAAAAGGCTGCTCTTTGATAAGAAATCGTTTGTAATGTCCGAAGGCTCCTTATTTTCCATATCCATATCTTTGGTGTATTGAAAATCGTAGACAACCAAATATAAACAGCTATTATTTGAAGAGCAATCTTGACTGTCATCCACTTCCATAATATTTAGTTCGGTTCGGTTTTGATCATTTAGAGCGTTTACTGACAAGGACTCGTTATCTCTAATCATAATTCCACAAATAACCGACGGACGAATGTTATTATTGGTTTTTGAACACTTCGATACCACTTTCGACGATTTCTCACCAACTAACGTCAAAGCTGTTATTTCCTTTTCAATCCCGCTTTTACCTACTCACAATATAAAACACAAATACAATATGTTCGAATGTTGAGTATGCAAAATAGTTACCTTCGTCAGAATGACAAGAATTTAGAGTACTGAAATCTTCAGTAAACTTTTCTAGAAGATGAGAATCATATTGGGTGACAAAAAATGCATGCGTCCGTTTGATCTTGCCGGATACATCATAGACAGCAACTAAACCGTCTTTGTTAGATGTTGGAAACAAATGAGGTACAGAACTGGTCCCAAGTGTATTAACTCCGACGCCTCTGCAAATGATCAACATTCAAAGTACAAACTTGTTGTACTACAATGTACAGATAGAACATACCTATAGGTAGCGTCAACAGCAGGATTTGTGGCAAAGGTAACCGATAATGGTACATTTTGAGTATATTCTCCCATGACAAAAGGACAAGTTGGCGAATGCCTTTCATGCTCACTCCAGGGCTCATCAGTTCTTTCCCAGCATACTAAACAAACGGTGCACATAAAGCACATCGCTCGATCATCTCCCGCCGAATTCGGCTGGTGGTAAAACCCGGCTTGCGCCATTTGATCAGGTAACGCCCACCTATAAAAGCAGACATAACATAAATAAATAATATATTGTACAAGTAAATTCATTGTGTTCGTACTTATAGTCCATATGGGGCCATTGAGCAAAAGTTTCACGACGTTTTGCCTCACTTGCCATGGCTTTTCTATCAGAAGCTGAAAATGGTTCCCCTAGTAATTCTGAAGCTCGTTCTTGAATAGCAGAAGCAACGCCAATCTCTGGGCTATGTTGATTTTTTACAATCAATTCCGTCATAACGCTACTTGCCGCTGAAGAAAGCACTTCTAGGGGAACCTCTATACAAACTGTGTTCCACTAAAAAATATAACATTTAAAAAATACTTAAAAATTACATTTAAAAAAAAACCTTCTGTGCTTTGATTCCTTTTTTGCATTGCTTTTGGGCTTCCTGTATTTTACCATTCAACTCATTTATCACATACTCAACAGTAGGATTGTTTACAATTGATAAGCATTGTTTTAGGATCATTGCCTAAAATTCATAGATCAATATTTATAAATTCCAAAATAATTGTATAATTTACCTCTGATAGAAGTAATTCCAATTGGACATCCTCTCTTCCACTGGTTACTGATTTTTGTAGGATTGTGTCAAGAAGCAGAACACCATTATAATCAGATCTGACACCCAATGTTTGGCCATCGCAGAACAATGTCCTGTCCTGACCACAAATGTATTGACATTTGATTTCATTCTGCTCTTGTGCTGAAAATAAAATAACGAATTTATGTTAAGTGGTCAATTGTTTATAACAACATTTACCTGATAGATTAGTGGATTGCAGAACAACACCCGAGTTGACATCTAGGACTCGTACGACGCCGGAATTTGTACAAATCAGAATAACGTTGAGCGTTGGATGATAAACTATTTGCTTTAAATCGGTGTCGGCATTTAAATAACCGTCTTCTTTTAATAAACAAGGTTCCTCAGCCATTTTGCTAAACACATCTTGCGCCATTGAAGATATTACCATTACAATTACAGGTTCAACATAGGTTTCTGTCTAATAGTCGACAACTTCATTCGTAACTTCTACCAACAGTCCACCATTGTAACTGATTATAACCACTAGATCCAACCACCAACTAGATCACCGGTGGATCAGCGGTTCTTAACCTGCTGCTGTTGGCCACGAAATGTATTTGGAGGACCGCGAAAATATTAGGAGATTTTTTAGTTTTTGAAATCTTTACAAATCAAAATAGTTTTGATTTACGATTTCTACACAATAACAAATATACTTTAATTTGTAGATTTTTCAAGAAATATTTAAATTATTGACAATATCAGCATTTATTTTGTTCAATGTATTTCGTATCTGTGCGACACATTGCCATGAATTGTCTTCCTGTTTTATTGAAGGATATATGTTTACTTTGTAAATGTCACGGAACTTTTGATGTTTTGGTATATCACCGATCAAACACTATTCGATTTAGTCATGATTCAATTGTAGTGGACACGCACGAATCAATCGAGTTTAACATTGTTTTACATATTACCACCAAATTTAATGAACTGAAACACTACACTTATTTTTTCCGGTGGCAATCGCAAGCCCGACAACAATAAGTAATATTGATTATTATTGTATTTTTTTCGTTGACTTATTCATTATAAAACTTAAGAATAAGAAATATTCTATAATAAAATTAGTTTATGTTATTAACAATAAATAGCAACAATTAATAATCTTATTAAGTTTTAGATTGTCGGGATTTCGATATATTCGGGATTTCGATACAGTCGGGATTTCAATACACTCGGGCTTTCGGTCTTTCGGTTCTCGGGCTTGCGATATAGACCCACTTTTAAGGCCAAAACAATATTACAAAATCAAATACAACTTTATTGAATTATTTTTACAAATATTATCTAATCTTCAGCAGTTTCTTCCACCTCCTTAGGTGGTTTCTTATATGGTCTGCACTCAGGATACTTTTCTGATAGGAAACTCTTAATTTCACCAAATTCAAATATTAAATGTTTCTTGACTTTAGCGTGGTTTCGAAGTCTTTCTTGCTTCTTTAAATAACTCTCCCAAGATTTTAACTTTGTGTAAAACGGTGGATACTTCTTCTTATTTAAAACAACTCGACCATGTAATGTGAATTGTTTAAAATCCATGCTTTCGTCGTTTTTAATTTCCTCAGGCTTTCTAACTTCTGTGGGAGATGCCAGGACATTAGGGTAAAAACCATTTTCCTTGCAGATTTCAACTAAATGAAGTTTCTTCTCTTCTGCTATTTTATCGTGTGTTTTCTTAAATTAAAAGTTTTGTATAATTAAAGCAAATTAGAAATACATAAAACACATTAAGTATACCTGTTGGATTAATCCTAGGAAGAAAGCTTTCACGACGTGTTGAAGATTCGTAGATCCCTCTACTTTAGCGTATAAGTCTTTAATGCCAATAACTTCGCAAATAGTCTTGATGGCGCGGTGGCATTTCAAACCATGACCGGGCGGTCTTTGACTCACAAATATCTTTGTTTTACCAAATTGAGTATAGAAATCGTGATATACTAAATAAGTACTAAGTTAATTGAATTTAAATAAATTAATCAATTCGTCATTACCTGTATGATTCCTGAATATATTAATGTGCATTAACTTTTGCCCTGCTCTATTTTTAGCTTTCCTCAAAGCAGTTTTTGATTCCACACCCTTTCCAGTTGCAAATCCAGCCAAACCTTTACCATTTCCAGTTACAACATAGACAGATAACCTACGTTTTCTGCCAAAATTTCCTTTCATATTGAATACAGTTTTCAATTCCAATACCTTTGTATCAAAACCTTCAAAACTATCTACAAACATTGACAATATTTATAAAAAAGTTTAATACTATAATACTTTGTAATACCTTCCCCAACTGCATCTGGAGGTCCAATACTCCTACCAGGCATTTTTGTACCAGTCCATCCCCTTTCAATTGGACTCAATTTGCCAAACCTTGTAGTACCCATTGAATTACGTAACTGGATTAATTTCTGCTCTCTATCTGGATCAGGAGGCAATTCTTGTTGCTGCACCAGCTCTTTTCCCCTTATAATTGGGGCAGACAAACCAGGCCATACTATGTTGGCTTTGCCCACACCTATCAGTTGTCCCCTGTTCAAATCTTTGATGTTCTTCTTTGAAACAGCTTTGCCTCTACCTCTCTTCTTACCAGCATTACTTACAGATGTTATTCCTTCCCATAAAGCCTCTGCAGGTACTAAAATATTATTATATAAATAACATTTTATAGGTTAGATTTTGAAAAACCTACATTTATTGAAGAAATTTGTATTTCTTGAGGCATTCCCAAAAAGAACTGTTTTCGTACTTTCTGCATCGACATTAACAATGGGTGTCGCTAATTTATTCTTTACATTTAATGACAATTTCTGCAATGTTTTAGTAACATTCAGCAATTGTACAGCCATCTTAACCTCAAAGTAGATGGCTATTTAATATCATATAAATATTAATTCATTATACTGATACATGTTACCAACCTGAAATATTTATGTTACTTTTTAAACATATATAATTCGTTTAACAATATTCATTATATGACTATGGTCGCCTGTATCACGAAAATCTGATATTTGAATCTGATACCAACGACCTGGTTTGATTCCCAAAAATCAACAAAATTTATGGTGGCTGTTAAACTTTATATCAATAAATAAATTGATATAAATCTCTTTAAATAAAAAAAAAACATTGTTAAAATTGGTCAGCAGAGATAATAAATTTTAATTAAATGAAAGTCAGGTGTGAATTGTGAACAATTTTCTTTAATTTTTCGTTTTATATAACTCTCCTCTTATCATTTACAAATAAAATGGAATGAATTTAACAGTTATATAATCTCAATAGGCTAGAATAAATATGTACAAACAGGACAAGACGATAAAAAGAGTTCTTTTTTTAAGTACATACATCGAAAATACAAACGTAACGAATACTGTTCTTACCTTCCATACTTAACATTAGACCTACTTTAAAGTCAACTTTTATTTGCTTTTAGAGTAAAATAAATAAAATCTGGAGCGACATTACAAGTGAAAATAATACAGATATCACAAAAAGAAAGAAAAGAAAAACTATGTACAACAATTTTGTTTATATAAATAGTTAATATCACGCAAATATTTAAAACAATACGAAATGGGAGTGATCTTTTTTTAGTTTTTCTTTGTGTGTTGTGTTTGTATTTACAGAATTATATTCTCCTTTAGTCATTTCTTGTTTCTCAAGGACCTGCTTTTTGGAGCAATGAAATCTAAGTCTGGCAATGCTGATATGCTTGGAATATTACTTTTTTTCGACTGCATTGCTCCGTTTTGGTAATGCGCAGGGTTAGTAATTATATTTGGCGCAGTCAGAACGGTGTTGCTTACCTGTGGAGGTTTAGACCATCCAAAAGCATTATTGTTTGGAGCAGATACAAAATCGGACCATTCATCTGAATCATCTTTGAAGCCATTTTGGTGAGGTGCGTTTGCTGGAATGCTCGTAGTCTGATAAGGCGTGTTGAGTGAGTTTTGATTCAATTGCATAGCAAATTGGTTACTTATGATCGAAGGTTGATAGTTCGAACCGTTATACGAGAGGTTGCTAAGAAGTGGAGCATGTTTTTGGGTAATCGAATGCGATGGAATTTTTGTCTGCATTAAACCTTGCGGTGTTATAACTGGAATCGGCAGTTTGGGAGGTTGAATGTTGCTCAATTGCGGTATAGAAAGAGATAATTCTGGAGTAGCGGTTCTTTCCGTTTGGCCAGAAACGAAATCGCTCCAATCGTCTTCTTCGATTTTCTTAACCACTGGTTTATGAGGCATATACTTTCGCGGCGAACTATCTAATATTGGCAGCACCAAATCTTTTGAAATCACAACTTTATCGTTTGGAGGTAGAAGCACTTCTCTCGAAGGCAACACTACTTTGTTTGCAGGAACAACAATTGACTTTTCTACCAGCATCGATCCTGCAGTTCCGCTCAATTTCCTGACGGTATCCTGCTTTTTAACAACAGGTTGCTGTTCATTTCTTGCACTTTTCGAATACATCTCAAACCTAGCCATTTCATCATTAGATATTCCAGGATCTGGCCAATTGATTTCGGTTAATTGAGTTTTATAGGTAGGAGTTGGTTGTAATATACTAGGTTGAATAACCGGAACCGTGGATACATTATTTTGGAAAGTATTATGATCTGTAGCTCGTAAATTGTTGCATTTTTGTAGGCTTAAGTTGTCTTTTTCAGTCCGTTGTTCAATTGGACATTCAACTATTTTACCCAATTGATTGCTTTGAACGTTGGATGAAATTGAAGGTTTCTCAAAGTTTTGAAAACTCGAAAAGTCATCTACTATATTATCATTGCTAATTGCAGTTTCATTATTAAATACTTTGTTATATTCCACAATACTGTCTATAACCTGTAATGATTTTACACCAGGTACATCGCTAACTTGATAACTAGCAAAATCATCGAAATCATCCATTCCACTATCTTCTTTTGGTTTAGTGATGTGATTGCTCACAAAATCATCAATTCCCATATCTTCTTTTGGTTTAGTGATTTGATTGCTCACGAAATCATGGAAATCATTAATTTCATTATCTTTCCGAGGGAGCACTGGCGTTAATATTGTTGGTTTGAGCCACCCAGGCTCTTCACTTTCAATCTTTCTGCTATCAGTATTAGTGATATAGGTTTCCCTCAAGGGTACCATGTTTTTAGGCCAACTTTGATAATCATTGCTCTCAATTCTCTTATCGATATCTAATTTTGGTTCGGCATTACTACTATTTAATTGAAACGATGAGAATACGTCGAAATCATCAATAGATTTGTTGTCTTCATTTTCGATGGGAACTTCACAGAACTGTAAACTGTTTACCGATTCCGTATCGAACTGCTTCTTTACGGTACCGGAAGCAATTGGCTTTAAAACTGTCTCACTTTTATCTTCGTTATTTTTCACCGCTGAAAAACCAAAAGAACAATGAATATTAATAAATTATAAAAACTTTTGATGATTGGTTTAAGTTTGAAATTACTCACATTCCAACCATAAATTCCAATCGTCCAATGCTAGGTCAGAGGTGTTAGTGTTTAAATCATTATTTGTAAAAGTTGAGGTAGTTAATTCAAGAGAGGCTACAAGTTGTTCAAGATCTAACAACATTGTTGCTGAAGCTGGGAGTTAATACATGACAAGGAAAAGGTGTTAATAAGTTAACAAATTTAGTATAGGTTGAGTGGGAATGTTGAGTAAGAAATCCACAGTAAGCATGAAAAGATATTGGTAAAACCACACATTAACTCTCAAATAAATGATATAAACAAAAAATGTAAATTACTTACAATCAAGAGGATTCGCAAGTCCGGATTCGTTCCAATCAAATTGTGCCGAAGGTATATTGGTATCACTGTTTGCGACCACTGGAAGTATCGTTGGGGACGGAATCGGCTGCAATGTTGTTTCTGACTTGATGGGCTCCAATGGAGATGAGCCTAAATTCGCAGCAAAGTTTGGCATAGATGAATTCCGACAGTGACCATACAACTGAATACAGACAAATTAGATAAAGAATATAACTTATAAGAAATTACTTACTATATTTCTAGTATCAATTTTCAAAGCTTTCAATAATCCTTTTTGTGTGGACGATTTCGCCCATTGGTATGTTAAAGCATTTGTGTCTGTAACATCTTTAATTTCATTGAAAATACTGTTTAGCTTAAAATCACAACAATTGAAATCATCCGTCACTATATCAAGTGGTTGAAACATTAGTTCTAAAATACTCTTGGATTTCGTATAAACGTCATCAGAATTCATCAAAATTACAGCGGCAGTTGAAGCTGTGGTAAAATCATCAAAATCACCAAATTCATCATCGTCTTCATTCTGCGTTGATTGTTGAACTGTTTCCCATAAATTCTCCGTATTAAATTTTCCAAAATTATTTTCATTGTCACCAAGATTGTCTGTAGAGGCAAAATCACCAAAATGATCTTCATCTGTTTCTGGTGGGCCCTTAACATTTTCAGACTTGAAATCTGTTGACGCAAAATTGCAAAAATCATCATTTGCTACAGTCTCATCTATGTTTTTATGGTTTTGCAACTCAGTAGAAGCAAAATCTCCAAAATCGTCATCACTGCAAACATCCTCTCTTAAATTATTAAATTGTTTAGACTTAAAATCTGTAGATGGAAAATCACTAAAACTTTCTTCATTTGCAATGGTTTCAATGTTAATACATTCTGGTTTTGAATCTATTGAAAAACTTCCAAAATCAATATCTTCTTTTAAATTTTCAGATTTTATGTCTGTTGAAACAACATTGCAATCATTTTTATGATTATCAAAATCAATACAATTCGAATTCTCAGTGTTATTAGATGTCACTTCTAAAGAAGAAAAATTGCCTACATCTATTTCGGAATCTAAATGACCAAATGCGCTTTCTGTATTATCACAAGAATTGCTAAAATTAGCAAACTTTCCATTTTCTACTGTTAACTCTTTGTTAATATTATCTGTTCTACTATTACCAAATTCTGTTAAACTTGGTAAGCTTTCAACCAATTGGTCTTCAGCTTCAATAACAAAAATATCATCAACATCCTCATCAATTTCATCTTCCAGTACTGGAATAGTGTTACATTCAAAATCACCAAAATCATTGCACTTATCTTCAATAACATCAGGCAGTTCTGGTGGCTCTTCATAATATACATCCAGAGTTACAGTAGAAGGCACATTTTCAATGACCACCAAATTGACTGGTTCCATTTTCAAATTATCTGCTTTTGATAGTTCAGGTACTTCAGTCATTGGTGGCATTACACTAGGAATTACATTTTCCAGTTCTTCACTCATTGGCACAGTCATATTTGGCATTTCATTATTATCCAAAGTCTCATTTATGTATAAGCTATTATCATCCAATGGGATTTTTGTTGGTGTAGTTGGAACTGATAAAGTTGCTGTAATTATTTTAGACTTAGTTACTACATTACTTTAATATTAAATTAATAGTTAACCATCACAGCCATATGTGTGTTCAACACCATTAGTGAAATCCCCAAATTCATCATCATCATCCTCGATATTCCCAATTGGGGGTGGCGAACTACTCAACAGTGGAGGGATTATGTTAGACATCTGCAACAATATACAGATATGTGTGATGGTATATATATATAAATAAACATTTCTATGTATATACATATATATTCAATAACATAACAAATGTCACCTAATTTCCAATATTTACCTGCTGTCACCGCTGACACGTATTTCCAATAAGCAGTCTTACCGTTCTTCGAACGCGTACAAACCCAGTAGTTTTCACTTATTTCTATTGCAGTTACTATCACTTCACTTAATTACTACAGTAGCTTAAAATAACAGCCATAAAGATAGACGTTTTGTCCTGCGGAAATCTCACTCAACAAAAACGCAAATAATGACAGTGACAGCGACAGCCATATTGATTGTTTAACCTTCTGAAAACCTCAAAATTTATTCAATTGTTTTCAATTTCATACACCTGTAATACGTTTAATGCAAGGCATGCAACTTGCATCGAAACATAATTTTAATCATTTAAACAATTCATAATTATAATTTCAAAAATTTGCATAATCTTTTAATTATCAAATCAATCAACAGTTTCGGAATACATAGTTTGTAATATGTTAATTCCCCAATAGTTTATTCTTGTAGAATTAATAAAGAAAAGAAACAATATACGCGGGAAATATGAATCCGAGAGGTTTGAAAACATTGCTGGAAAATTTCGATCAACCTTTCGTAATTCCGAACTTGCTTGATTGGTCAATACTGGATTGGGACTTGGAGCAGTGGAATGCAGCATTAAAAGGCAGCGTTTTGAAATTTCGTAAGGGAAAAATTGCACATACTAAGGTAATCAACAATGTTTATTTTTATTATAAGTTTTAAATATTACCTTTATCCTATTGAAACATTTTAATATCTTTTATATTATAACATAACATTGTATTAAATGATGCATATTTAGAAACATAGACAGAATTAAACATGAATATGTGTGAATATGCTCTGGAAATAGAATATTAATACCAGATCTTGGCAAGCTCCAGTCCTGTAACTGAGCTTCCAAAATTTCGTGGTGAACGTCAATTTATTAAAATATGTTCATCATCGCTAAGTTTGGTCATTTAAATCAAATGATACATAAACATGTAAAGTAGTAATTTGAATACTTACAATTTAAATTCTCTTTGCTCATGATATGATAAATATATAACTTATATTTGTATCATGCTATTTACTCATAGAATCTATTGAACTACAGTGGGTGAACCAACATAATCTAACTAGCGTCAGCTCTGAAATGTATTGTTGAAACATAGTCTTTATCGAAAGTGTTCGTTGTCCGATTATGCAGCCATGTTGGACTTAGAAGCTCTAGATTCTAGTATATACTTTATTAATATATATCAAATATGATATCAAATACTTTTATTGGAACAAATTTCAAACAAACAAAATTCAACGTTTTGATATATATATATATTTATATTTTGTACCAGGATCCTCAATGGGAGAGTCACACAGAAATCGTAGAAGGAACTTTGGACGATTTTTTAAAATTCTGCAACGATTCTCATTATTGGTACTACTTCGATTACAAATATCTAATTGAATGGTTCTTAGATCAGAAGCAAATTAGAAATGTAGGTGTACACCATACATTTATATAATACAAATTATAATAATAGTTATTTTAGGACATCAATTGGACCAAGTTTGGGTTCGAAAAATTTGCAAATGATAGTACCATATGGATCGGAACAAAAGGAGCACATACACCGTGTCATATAGACGTGTATGGCTTCAATTTGATTGCTCAAATTTTTGGAAGGTATTTTTTTTAAATAATTATGTTTTTTTATTAAATTTTACTTTACAAACATAGTTTAATGTAGGTTTACTTTTTCGGCTTAACAGTCAATGGTTCTTACAATTAACGTGAACTTTAATTAACTGTTATAAAATTACGCATATTTTATATTTAGGAAACGGTGGCTGCTGTTTCCACCAAACGAAGATCTATTAAAAACACGTGTACCTTACGAAGAATCAAGTATTTACTCTAAAATAAACTTCTATAGTCCCGATGAAAACAATTTGCGTGGTAATATTTCTTGATTGGAATACGTGACTAATATATTTCGTAATAGGATTTGACAGTTGCAGGGAATTAATATTGGAGCCGGGTCAGGTGCTTTTCGTTCCGAACGGCTGGTGGCATTATGTGGAAAACTTGGAGACAGCAATCAGTATCAATACTTGGCTACCACTGACCTCGGATAACGAAAAGCGAATGCAAGAAGCAATAGTCCAGATGCTGATGAAAATTTTAGCGAGTCAAGTGACCGAAGGAGACAGGAACATTCTTCTTAATCCGAACGTGAAGAATGTGGAAATTCGCCAAAACTGTTAAATGCAAATTTTGTTTTTCAGGAAAATATCGAGGAATCCGTGTACGGTTGTGTAAGAAATATCGAAGCAATGAAGAATATTTATAGAAATGCAATAAAGGTGCCGCAGCGAATTGAGTTGGCATCGGAATTGTATAACAAGTTCAAGGATAATTTGGTGCAGCCTGCAGTGTTGTCACGTGAAGAGTTTACACGTTTAATGGTGAAACAAAGCAGAAGATTTGCGAAGGACAAGGAAGAGTCTTCAACTAATAGTTCAAGTGATCTAATAGATGTAATTAATGCGATCACCGATTGCGATGTAATTGAATTGATAAAGAATAAAATGCTTGGGAAATAAGATTACTTCAATTTATTACTTTCCGAGATACAAATACTTGGTTTCAACAAAATAAAAAAATAATAATACATGGATAATAGTTTTTTTTACACATAAGCGATTAATGGCAATTTATAAAAATATGTAGAAAAATAGTATCATCCTAATGCTTATATATATGATAATTGTCTTTTTTTACATTTACACTAATAATAGTTAGTATATTGACGTACGTTACTGTAACGAAACGGGACGTTCATAGTTTATTGTGATCACAGATAACAATAACCAATATAATGAACATCACTACAGCTTTACGTTTTCTTAGATTTTGTTTACAATAACATCGATATATTCAGCAACAATAAAAAGTAAATAATTAATATATTACATACGTACGCGTGATCACAATTACGTCCAACATAATATAAAATATATGTTTGATTAAAAAAAATATATATACCAACATTGTTATAATAACTAAGAGATTCGTAATAAATTACAACAATTTAAGCATACAAAAAATAGTAATTCCCTGAACTCAGACAACTAGCCTACAATTGTATCGTTCTGTACCTCCCAAAAAAATATAATAATCCGCCAATCAAATTTCAATTTTATACAACAAAATATAATAAAAAAAAATATGATATGTTTAATGATAATGAATGAAACATTTGTACTCTTATATATATATAATCAAAAGAAATTACATATAAAGTAAATAAAATAAATCTTTTTAATCAGGTACAAATCAATTGAGGAGAGGAAATTGTGATGGGGTACATCGATTGTGTTTTATTCCAATTCAATCATATGCGAAGAAATGAAGGATGAATTTAAAAAGCATTTTAAGATTATTACGCCAAGTAAAAAAAATGTGAAAGAAAATCGAACTTAGTGAATATATAAATATAAGAAAATTATAAAATATAATGAAATTTGCACTTCGTTTCTATCAGATGTCTTCTGATTTATTCATCTTTCTTATACTATACCTTTCATCACAATGATACACCCAAATTGACGAATATTAGTATCTTTTATTGGTTTATCACCGGTTCTTACCGTTCGATCACATGCGAAATATATATAAATCGTGATTCAACAATATGAACCGCACATCGAGTTAATGTTCTCTAGAATATAAAAATATACTTATTCCACCTCTTAACCCTGTTCGCATTACAATTGACATCGCAACTCAGGTAGCTATAATGTATACTTATTGTATGCATAGTCAATTTGCATGCATCATTGTACATATTTTTTTATATAATGGTAACTCTGCTTATAATTAATATACTCTGTTTTATAATATTTGTAATAATGTTTGCCAAACATTGCTAGTCATCTCTTGTAGTATATAGGAAATAATCGAGATATATATATATAACCAAGATTTGTTTTCGGGGAGAACGTAACAAAGTTCTCAATATCTATACTAACGATATCGAAAAATTGTATATTTATGTAGATAGCACCACCATCCTATAAAGGCAGATCCCTCGTTAAATCAATTAAGTCTAATACTTCCAATAGCTTTCGGCAAGTTAAAATCTCAATTGCACAAGATGGTAAGCGTGTTATCATGGTATTAAAAACGATATATAAAATAGAAAAAAAAACGTATATACTTATTGTCTAAACGATGTGGGGGCGTGTGGTAGTACTTCCACGATCAACAGCTGTTGTTGCTGCAGTCATCGTCGTCGAGAAGTTGATCCCGGGAGAGTCTGAAAACAACATTTTTCTGTTGCCTGAAAACTGGAGCGGTTCTTTGTGGTAAGAGGCCAGGTAAATCTGTAACCTTGCTGATAATGAAATCTGGATGGAAATCTGCTGCTCTTTCGGGCGAGTCCGTGACCAGCGGTATCCAAACTGTTCCAGCAAGATTTGCTTGCTTTCCACCCAAGATGTCTGTCTCGAGTTTGTCGCCCACCATCAGACACTCCCCGGGCTCCACCCCCAAGTACCTGCAAGCCTCGTGGAAGATCTCGTGCTGCGGCTTTTCCCACGGAAGATCCCCAGAGACAACGATCAAATCGAAATAACCCTTTAAATTCAACCTCTCAACTTTCTCCCACTGCGCGCACGAGGGCCCATTGGTAATCAGGCCCAACCGGAAATGGAGCCTCAGTTTCTTTAACAACATTTGCACGTCCGGGGTCAGCGCTAAATAATGGTAACGGAGCTGTAGCCATTTCAAATATACCTCGCCTAAAATAGATGTTACATCGCATTAGCCCACACGTATCAAACTTATGACATTTCACTCACTGACATTTAAAACCAAAACAAAACAGAACGAAACACAACACGAAATAACAACGAATATATATTTAGTTTAGAAAAAAAAACTTTAAATTTCTAGTGTGTTCGCAAATATGATGGTAAAAATATTAACCCTGACTGGGGATGAACTGGAAATCGACGTTGAACCAACTGACACGATCCTCACCATCAAAGACAAATTGGAGGAACGCGAAGGTTAATTCGATGATATTCACGTGTGATTGCGTTTTAGACGTGTGATGATTTTTATTTTTTTGTGTGTAATTTATGAATGCAGGTATCCCGGTGGACCAACAGCGGCTGATCTATCAAGGAAAAAAAATGAAAGATGACCAGACTGTGAAGAATTACAAAATCCAGCCAGGCACAACACTGCATTTGGTGATAGCCCTCAGGGGCGGACTAAAGTACGCCCGAGGGGAGTCGGAGAAAGCGTATTATCGGAAGTTCATCGAGCCGCATAAGGGCATCTTCACCTGCTCCGATAGCTACTACAGAAAACTAGAAGCAGATTCGGGAAGCAGCTCCAGCACTATATAAAAGACACATATGACATAGTTTAAAAAAGCATTGGCTACTGTACCAGCAATGGCGGTATATTCATCTCCAAGAGCTTGCATCCACAGCTTCCTCCTCCAGGCATGCAATTCCACGGACGGATTATCCGGACACTTGCGGAAAGCTTTCAAGTATTTGCTGCAGATGGCAATTGACGTCTCCACCTGAACCTCATACTTCTCCCATAATATTTCGCTTAGCTAAAAATAAACAATTTCCAACGTCAATAAAAAAATTAAACATACGCGTTCTGACATAAAATCGCACCCACTTATTGGCAAACTCGCGTAAATTTTCCAAGTTGCTTTCCAAACAATCCAAAAATAATATGTGTCAATGAAATAATTCACAAAAATAGAATATTATTAGATCGATGTTATAGTTTTTCTGTTTTCAATAAACATCTACTTACTGTTTTTATTTATATTATAGTCTAATTTTATAACAATTTGACCTAATTCTACCCACATTTTGCAAATTTAAGATCAATATCATTTCATTTAATACAATTTTTTATTTAAAAAAATATTTTTGTTATATCAAACATTGAAAAAATATTGCTATTTGACTATTTTAGCATCTTGCACAAGTAATTACTCAATAATACTGATATTCTAGAATACTTTCTCAGTCAGTATATTATAAATAGAAATCTATTTTCAACGATGCAACCAACTTTGTAAGTGATGGGGGAAAAAGTTTGTTTCTGGACATGTGTAAACGAATGTGTCAAGAAAAGTATGTATAAAATAAAGGAAAAATAAAATAAAACTAAAAATAAAAGTGTATGTGTTTTGCTTGTTTAATACATCCATTTATAGACTAGAAATAATAAACACGAGCTTTAAAAACATATATAAAATCCGAACAGGCGATATAGAATTGTTATATTCCAAATAGAAAAATCGAGTATGAAAATAATGAAGCAGCAATCTTAAGTCTTTTGATTTTCTGGTGCGTTTATTTAATCACCGAACAGCTTCTTGCCCAACTCCATGAGCCTGTGGTTTCTGCACACTTTGAGAGCGTCGGCCTTCTTCAGCACAGGAATAACATCACCGTTGGCATCGACGAGACGGCACAGGAAATCCTCGTACGCCGACTTCACGTTGGGAGGGAGAGCTCCGATTTTAACCTTCTTCAATGTATCGATGATCCCTTCGGCCCAGCCGCTTTCGATCGCGAACTCAGAGATCCATGGGACGAAAGACAATATTGCCGACATCGTCTGCATTCCCAGGAACCAAAGTTCCATAATCTCCATCCAATACTCCTTGTAGCTCATGGCAACAACTATACCAGTGTCGCTTGATTCATCCGCAACGTACGCATCCCACAGGAAACGAATGGTAGCTTTAATGTATCTACAAATCGAGAAATCGTTCTTCTTGATTTTCTTATTCTGCTGCTTCATCAGAAGCAAACCGAGGACCGCCAAATTGCCGTGCAGTGGAAGATTCTCGGGAATATCTTTAAGTTCGGGTAAATTCTCAAAGATGAACTTCATGAGTTCATTGAACAAGTCGCTGTCTTCGATGTATTTAGCCTCTAAGACGGTGATGTTCATGAAAATGTTGCATGTGCTGATCATCGCAGCTCGCGAATCCTTCATATCTTCAAGAATCTCGGGAGATAATTCGATCTTTGGATTCGCCAATACTTTCAGGCGTTCGCTCCTAGGAACTGGCGGTCTCTTATAATGAACTATCGACCAATGGTATTCGAAGCAATCGTAAAGTGCCTTGTCTTCGTTAATTTTCAGCATAATTTTTCTTGCTTCGTCCTCAACAGTTAAATGGCACAGAGCTGGAAGCATAATTCTCAGAACATCAAACTTGGATATTGGATCATCAACTTCCATTGGTGTTCCTGCTTTCTCCGCTAATCTCCTCGCTTTGCAAGCGTAGAAAGATTCATTAGCCAAACCCAAAATAAATGGCAGCAGCTGATACACTTGCGTTCTCATGGCCGACGTTTCTTGGGCAAGCCAAGCCGCCAAAACCCTGATTGTTCCACATACGAACAATTTCTCTTTTCCTGGAATCTTATCCTTGTTCTTATCATTTGAAATTTTCGTTAAGAACGACATTACAGCCGAAAATGCTCCTTTCAATCCAGTGTACAGATTTTGCTTCTCCTTCTGATCCAAATCCAATTGATCAGTTGATATGTAATTGATTGAAATCTCCAAAATGATGTAGCAAGCAGTCATCAGGTTTGCTTGAGTGTACACTTGTTGAAGCCCCTTTCCATCTAACTGCATTCTAACTTCAATGGCGCCCAATTGAATCAAAAGTAGGAAAAATTGCTTTCCTTTTTCTTCATCCCCAAATATCCAATCCACTCCAAGCACATCCATCATAGTGGAAGCTAAGCATAATGCTGGGTCTCTTTGTTTCTTGCCAATCTTACTTGTTAATACATCAAACAGTCCTTTGTAAATACTGAAGGGCCACAATTCAATTCCATATGATTCCATGATTTCTTTTCTGTGAGAATTATACAAAAGACCATTCAAAATTGAACAAAGTTCAAATTTTCTTTCATCATTGTCAGTTTCAAAGTCTAGAGCAATTTTATTTACAAGTGCATGGAAATTTTTCAAGTTATTTTTATCCCAAGAATTTGCTCCAAATTTATTGACAAGCACAAGGAGAATATTCAGGGCCTCATCTGTTTGGAAACTCTGCTGAGAATAAATTTCAGCCATTTTGGTAATGGCTCCAACATCAAACAAGGCCTTCTGTCCAGGTTCAAATGAAGCAATACTCTTCAAGCATCCGTAGGCTTCTCCTACAATAATCAAATTATCATCATAATCGCTTGCATCAGCTTGTTGGACAATGTCAAGGAAAACAGGGATGTTGGCTAACATTTCTGGATGAGTAGCAAGTTCCGGCTCGTTGCAGAAGCATGTCAAGATAGAAAGTGCAACCGATTTGTAAATAGATGGGGGACAATCAACAGGCACATCACTAGTCAGAAGTAATTTTTTCAAGAATTTAAAACCAATAGCCTCAAAAATTAACTTCTTCGCTGTAGTGTTGCAATCCTTTGCTTTGACCAGTTTGGTGACCATGAACAGGGCCGCAAACTTTTCAGTGTCACTGGAGGCATGCTGCAGTATAGCAACACACTTCTTAACTGCATCCGATACTTGTGCCATGGTGGAAATATTCAATACTCAGAGGACACCACTTTAAAACATTTTCACTGCACCAATGCTAGACGCAAACTGCACGCTCGCAATGGGTATACAGTGTTATATTTAACTCTTCAAACTCCAAATTTGGACAAAGCGGTTTCTGGCTCTCAGTTACAACGCCACGCCGGTCTTCTAAATATAACCTCGCCAAGTCACTGACTTGAAAATCTCCTAAATTTAAACGAAAATTCGCCGCACGTGAGCTCAGAAGATCGCTGCTCGGCGTTTCAGAAAGAAACTGCGTCCTCAGCTAAGAAAGCAACGCGAACATAACCTTATTTCACGGATTCAAAATGACTTTAAAGAGAATTAATTGATTTTGGCACGAATAACCTTCGCTCGATTGAGGATCAGCTGATTATGGACAGGACCGTATCGAAAAGCGTAGGGATTTTGAGAAACGTTAAAGAAACATTGAAGCCGACTCTGGCATATACCGCAAATTCACTGAGATTTTTATGTTCATTTATACTAAAATATAACAGTACGTGAAGAAGATGATCTTACCTTGTTGCACGCCAATTTATCTGCTTTTCTGGTTGTTATTAGTGTGTTGTCCAGATCGAAAAATATTACAGAAATATTGGCGATTTTCGAATCCATGCTGTACGATGACCAAAGGATGCTCAGAAACCAAAAGAAAATGAAATCAAACAAAACAAGTGAGTGGTCTATGTGATTTTTTCTTCTTCTTCTTCTGCCCCCTTTTGTCTGTCTGGCTCGTTCTCAAACTTTGTGACGTTCTACGTCATCTGTCAGATAAAATTTTACATAGGCAAGCCATGCGTTCTACGTCACAGCAGACACATCGTTACGTCAATAAACCGATAGCATTCATCATTTGGAGGATAAGTTCAAGTTTAATGGTTTATCACAATATCTATATTAGATTATAGGAAGTCACTTGAACTCATCTTGTATATAATTTCTAATAAATTTATGCGATTACTGAAAATATTCCTCTGAATCAATGTTCAGTTGGTTGCATCATACTTATCTCTACGATTCTAATTTTTTGTACTCATATATGAACATAACTAATCTGCCAGATAAAATGAATACTGCGTAGAAAGAATGAAGAAGAAAATATAATTGAATACTTTATCAAGTTCATAATTTGATTAATATTTATTTAGATTAAAAAATCTGTGTTCTATTATAAATTTCATATCTGAAAATAGTATTCATTCTATTTAATACCATCTTAAACTACTATCTTCAAAATTCGATTTTTTTAAAATTTGTAGTCATGTTGTAGATATAGGTTTAAAAATTCTTATTAATTGTTAATTAAAAGTACTATATTGATTACATAAGAGTTGTTAGTTTTACGTTATTCTTATACCAATGAATCTCAGTATAATTCTCAGTGGTAAACGATTCGTCAATATATCGGACTTACCGGACTAATCGAGGATCTAAATACATACAAAAAGAGACTTGTCTGGAACATCGATAATTTGTACTATTTTTTTTTGCTCAACTAAATTTTAAGATTATTTGGAAATTTTTAAAACGGATTATACTGAATCCGTACTAATCAAATTTGCACAATGCGAGCTATAGCTGTTAACGTAATAAATGTCTAAAGATATTATGAAGTTTTGACAAAGTATAGGGTGGACCAACTTTGATATAACTTTTATAATTGAAGCATTTTATTATATTTTTTTTGTAGATGAAAGTATAATTTGTTAGAATTTTTCTAATTTAACTGTGAAAAATAATTTCTTCAAATCAAGTTTCAATATTCGTCTTAGCGATGTTTTGGGGATGCCAACTGAGTGTCACGCTGGGGACCAAAGACGCTGTGGCTATACAACAGATTTCTCATATGACTTGGTCCCCCTGGTGTCACGTCGACGAGTAGACGCACATGGATCTGCATGAATCATCGTCTGTCGTATAGCCACAAAAACTTCTTTATTGCGAACAGTTCCATGAACATTTCGTTATTGATGATCACATTCTGCACCTCAGCTGATTACGTTTCTAATCATGAACATTATTTTTTTTGCGTTGTAACAATACTTCATCAGGAATCATAATAAAATTCTATAATTTTGACACGTTCTTGCACTAAGTATGTAGCCATATAAAATTTCTTAAAATGTATTGTAATCTGCAACAAAAATAAAAAAAATAAAAAAAAACTAAAAACTCAAAAGTTATAAATATTTCAAAACAGTCAGTCCAAGTTGGCCCATCTTCTAAAAATGAAATAAACGTTATCTTTACACCGATGAATCTCCTAAACAACATTATCTGCAGCATTGACCTCTAAATATTATGTTTCCATAGCAACTTGATTAATATCCAAAGAGGTGTAAAGGAATTTTGATAATTATTCGTTTTCCTTCCACCAACAATTTTCCTCAGAGAGTGCACAATAGAACTTCACAAAATTGCACTGTAATATTTATTATTTATTAGGAATTTTATTATTTTTGGTAATATATTATTGAGTCAAGTTCACCTAATAAACCTTATATTTGTAGTGAAAATGATTTCTGTAAATAGAATAACCGTTTGCGCATTAATGTTACATTTATGTGAAACAAAAGTTATACGCTCATCAAAAACTTTGCTACGTTCAAAATAAATTACGAAGTTTACTTTGGAAATATACGCTAATGATTGGTGTGACTCTAGGTGCACGTAGGCATGTTGTGCTTATTAGTGCTTATTAAATTAGTTTTCCACGTACGACCAACGAGAACGTTCTCACCACAAGATAATTTTGAACACAGAAATTCTTAATATAGATTTAAATATACAGCAATACCTCGCATACTGCGGCTTCGATCAGTGCGGATTCACTATAGTCCGGTTTAGAATTTCAAAACAAACTAAGTTTATTAAAAATAAATTCTAAAAAAATAATATAGTCAAGTTTCTTTACGTGTTGTTTATTTCTATGCGGTTTGAAATTCCTCGATTACTGCGGTTTCAAACATTAACTTTAATAAATCGATTGGATATTTACTTTATTATTATTAGCTTTAACTAGAAGTATTTTTCCAAAAGCGATGATGTCAGTTTGAATAAAAACATTTGCACTTAACAATCAAAATTGCACATATTAAATTATCACAATGTATTAGAACTAAAGTTGGTCATCATGTATATATTTATTATATTATTAAGTTACTATTTATCAAAATTCATTAAATATTGAAAAAAGCTAAACAAGTTGATGTTTCTCAAACGTTAAACATGGTATATATTTTGAGTTAATAATAAGACTGAAAGACTTATTTCCCTTCTAAATTATATAATGTTTATCGAAAGATAATGGCAATTAAGTAGTATAATTAATGGGTCGAAATCGACCGATGACACTAAAGTATAATTAGCATCAAATTATAATTCCCCCCTTTGTGATTTTATTGATTCCTGTTCATATATTTCGTGTTGCGTAAATAATGTATTAAATAAAGGAGAAAATATCGATTGGGTAGGCGAATTTTAGGTCACCGGTGGAAAAGTACCTTTAAAGTGTATTTTTTCTTCTCCTCTTTCGGCGTGTTTATATTAGTTTTACAAATTAATTCACCTCTTTCTTAATATTTGTTTATATTTTCGGTATAAATTGATTACAGAATGCTGAACTAATAATAAATTCATTTACTTAGGTGCTTAGATAATATTAATTATGTAGATAATTTGATTTATGTAACACTTGTCTACAGGTAATAGGAAAAATTTAATCAAAATAGTTAAGAATATTTTGATAAATGTATCTAGGAATTAGATTAATTGAATGCCAGAAGATAGTTTTGTAAAATATTTAATTTTGTTGTACATGTAGAGGTATGCAACCGAACATACGCGCACTTTGGAGAAGCGCTTCGAGAACTCAAAATTTGAATGTATGGTAATTTGCAAGACGGGGTGATAAGAAATGCGAGTTTTGTGTTGGGGTCTAATTGAATTATGTGTTTTGGCTGTCGGTGCCGATGTATTGGCCTTCTACATCTTCCCATCTTCTGATTGCATCAGGCTGCTAATTGCCAGGTCAAACAGGAGTCAATTAGTGGCTAAATGGACGAGGATCTAAATATAAATGAGGGAGGAAACGAGGATAAACATTATGAAAAAATATATGCTTCTGGCTGGACGTGCTGCAAGGGGGGAACGTGCAGAAAATGAAACGGATTGAGTGAATAAATATCGATTTCACATGAAACATTCACATTACCTGATTTAAGCAGACTTGCGTGTTGTGAAGGTCGTGATTCTATACGACTCTATATAGAATATATATATGCAGACTCGGAGTCGTGATAACAACCTTCAGAGCGGCAGTACAGAACACGACGCCGCCGACGCCGCTGTCGCCGCCCCCGCAGATATCTTATCACGTCGTCAAGATCAATTCTTATCCACCGGAAGTACAAACAATATTTCGAGAAGAACGATGAGAAGTGTGCGAAGATGAATGGATATACGTAGGCAGAACGAGAGAAGTGCTTATAGAGAAACGAAGTAGCGAGGAAGAGAAAGACAGAGTCAAGTGGGGGAGGCCGAAGGAGAGAACACCTAGTACTTCCGGTTTTATAGATTTATTTTCCTTTTTCTGCCGTACGTACAATATATACAGACACTCTCTTGGCCGTGCAGGAAATTACGTAAGTTTTCTTTGACCGAATAATAACTTAACCTAATTTCCAACCCCTGCGACGTCCGTGGGGAGATTGTTTTCATATTGCCAAGCCTCATTCGGACCATCATTGTCTTATCATCTCGACTGCAGCATTTGAATAATTCATCTCATTTCACACCCTGCATACTAAGTAGTCTGCTATACGACCGACATCCAACCAACCCCCGTCTCCCCCATCGTCATAACTGCTTCCGCAACAACAATTACGAATCGACCTTAAACCTAACTTGTTTCTTTTTTCATTTAACACCTGAACATATTTTTTCCTTTGCTAAACGTTGATTTCATATTTATTTTTACGTTGTTTTCAATTGTTGGCGATGACATCATTAAACAACTGTTTCTAGTTTTTTCGTTGTTGTTGTTGTTTTCGCTGCTGATGTTGCTGTTTTTGCGCCGAGCACGTCTTTAATAATATGGATCACTTAATAAGTGCAGATTACATATAGGATCACGAAAAAATCTTCCTACAGGACCCGACACAATCTTAAAGCGAAGGTTACTTTGTTGTTTGTATGTTATAACTCTAACAAAACCCAAACTATTTCTTATAACATTAAATCATTCTTAGACGCTTCCATCGTTAAATTTTATATTATTTTGTTCACTCAACGTTAATTAAATATAAAATTTAATTTTGCTCAATTTAAATCATAGAGGATCCGGATTGATCAAAGCGAGATATTGCTGAAAAGTGAAATTAAACGTCTTTTTTACATTTGTAGAGCTTTGTATAACTAAATTAACCGACTGTTATACATTATTTAATTAACTTCATAAATTATTTTACTTGGAAAGTCTGGAAACATTGATGCAATTATAAGTTAATTCAAACAAGAAAATGTAATCGTTTCATTTAATCTATTTGTGAATACTAACTGAATCTGACATAATATATCCCATATTTACTGGTAAATCGATAAACTACTGGTAAAAAATACATTTTCAGTGAAAATGCTCTCTAGCGCGTTATTTGTTTAAACAAAGTTATTTTAGTTTAAATTTATGTTATTGAACTATTATTAAATATTAATCTTAATTAATATTAATTATTTTATGAAATGCGACGGATATTGAGTAATAGAATATTTACTAATTATAAATACATTGAGTTTATTATAGTTAATATAGTAAATTTATATAGTGATTTTGCATTAAAACAATCATATTTATTATTCATTATCATTCATATTTATTAATAATATTTATTTCAATAGTCATACAAAAAATAAAAATAAATTATTTTTTACACATTTAATTCCTCGATTAGTCCGATTTCAAATAGTGGAACCCGTACTATGTGAGGTATTGTTGTAGGTTTTTAGCAACAATTGCTGAGTATCGGAAAACATATTTGTCATTTCTAAAATATAAATGAATTAAAAATAATAATTTGTAAAGTTGTTTGTGCAATTGGAAAATTTATTTATAAATCACGTAATTGATGTGGTGTAACATTTCAATGAAAGAATTACATTTAAATTAGCTTTTTCATAATGAATACAATATAAATATGTATTTTGTGTGTTATGTTAAAAACATCCAATTATGTATTTCTTAAAACACTTTATATTATCTAAAACTATTGATTGCATCATAGATATTATAATGAGATAATTGTTATTTTATTAAATACTTATTAATATAAGTATCAATTTTATGAAAAACTCTGACATAAATCTGATAATGAACTCTGAATACTAAATCGCAATAAAATACTTATTCTTAAATAAAATATAGTACTATATATATACTATAATGTGTATTGATTGTGCGAACGGGCATCGATCAATAAACTTGTAATTCCATTAGTTACATTTCTATATTTAAAATATAAAATGGAAGAAGCTGAGATCAATTAAAACTTTATCGCATTTCTGCACCATGAATTGGTGCCTTTAATTAAGTTCGCGAGATATTAATGTAAGCTTAATGCTTGCACTGCGCAGCGAATTATGAAAGCAACTTTTAATTACTCGAAACTTTTTAATTATTCAACGTAATTGAATTTATTTACGATGTGTTTGGGTTTTTCCGTTTTCATTTCTATTTCATTCGCTGTGCGTGAATATAAACTAACATAAAATTATCTTTCGTATACTGTTTCTATCTTTCTTATTTTGTATTTAGTTAATTGGGTAATACTTTCTGCTTAGTATTTATATTTGCATGATAGCTAATTATTTACGTTAGTATTTTTAAACATTTTTTAATTATTTAGCATATTTGTTTTTGGTTATTTCTTGGCGCTATTGATAACAGTTCTTCCTTTGGATATTTATCTTTATTACTTTGTTCTGTTATGGTGGATAGATTTAGTAGGCTGATTTTTTATAAAGTTTTTATCTGAATCTATACTGCAAGATTTCTACCAATCACCTTAAGATTTTGAGTAGGTGTACATTTTAACTCCATGTTTCCTTCATAATAATTGATGTTAGGTTTCCATTAATTGGTTTAGTCGTATTTTTGTGGAAAATAGTGCTTGATTTAATAGTACTATAATAATTGAAGTTGTTTTACTGCATTGAGTTGAATTTTTATATATACAATTTTTCTCTGAATATAGTTTCTGTTTCATTAGTTGATCTTATTGTCTGCATATTCCTTGCTTAAAATATTGAACATAATAGAACATGGAACATGAAAGATTAATTATATTGTTTGTGAATCGGGGGTTTTTCAGTTTTCATTTTAATCTGAATACTGTTGTTATAGTTAGTAGTAAATAGAATCGTAGCGGTGTGTTATAATGTTCTCTTTGTTCTTTGTTGTTGTAGTGAAGATTTAGAGATAAACTAACGGTACAAGAAAGATCAAAAACAAAGCAAAAAGAATGAATAAGATAAGAAGACAAGATGGTATTGAGTACGGAATGGTCACAAGTTGAGGTGATCGATCTGGTGAACGATGGTTCAGGCCTAGGTTTCGGGATAGTAGGCGGCAGAAGCACGGGCGTCGTGATCAAATCCATCTTGCCCGGAGGCATCGCAGACAAAGACGGTAGATTACAGAGCGGGGATCACATCATCCAAATTGGTGAGGTGAATCTTCGCGGATTCTCGGCGGACCAGGTTGCCAGTGTTCTTAGACAGGCCGGAGTCCAGGTGAGGATGGTCGTGGCCAGACCTATCGAATCTTGCATCGAATACCAGAGGTTCAACAGTAGCCAGGCGCCAATAGTTCCAACGAAGATTCTGACCGATCCCGAAGAGGTGGAGCGACTCCTCTCGCAGAACGGATACCAGGAATGCTACAATCAAAACTCCTACGAGGATGCAGTCTGCGGAGAAACAACGACCAACAACTACGAAAGCAACGTTTTGAATGTGATACATGCTGACGGTGTGCTCAGTGTGAACGGCTGCAGCTCACCGGATAGCGCCAAAGTGATTTTAACACCGGTGGACATCGAGTATTCCTTACCAGAAACGGAAAGGTTTACCGTCGAGCTGAACAAGAACGAGTATGGCTTGGGTATAACCATCGCTGGTTACGTGTGCGAGCGTGAAGACCTGAGCGGTATCTTCGTGAAGAGCATCGGCGAAGGTAGCGAAGCTCACAGGTGCGGCCGCATCAACATCAATGATAGGATCGTTGAGGTTGACGGTGAGTGTCTGCACGAATGTACAAACTACGAGGCGGTCGAGAAGCTCAAGCAGTCTGGAAGCTGTGTCAAGTTAACGTTCGAGAGGTACCTGCGAGGTCCAAAGTTCGAACATCTACAGGAGGCTTTGGCGAGCACAGAGACCAAAGATGCCAGCCCTCCATCACCCTCGGTGACAACCCTTAGTTGGATCCCAATTGACACAGACGTAAGTCAAACACAGGCATTATACAAAAAAGCACCACACTCTCGTATATTGTTAGTTTTGTTGCAATGTTTTCTTTTATTTTTATTTTTTTAATACTTACTACTATATTATTATTATTTTAATTAGTGTCCATTCTACAAATACACTTTTTTCACCAGATTTTTTCGTTTTATTTTTACGTTTCTCAGCATGTCCTTCGTCACCCTACGACTCAATGAAAATATGCAACCACTCGTTGCAAATATCTTCAGAGTTAACATTTAGATAAGCTTTATATAGATTAGAATTAGCTGTCACATAGAAGCAAAATTGCGTTAATAGAAATATATACCAAGGCTTTTGGTATAACTTAAAAACTATATATATATCAAATAAGGGTGAAATACGTCAAAGATAGATACCAATAATATTAATAAGTTATATACAACTTATATATCTGATGCTCATAAGCATTTTTTAACAGCTGTGGCAAGTTGTTCAAGCGAAAGTTCTGAAGTTATAAAAAATAAGTAACTGATGAATGAGATCCGTCAAAAATTATGGAAAAATGAAATTGGGAAGATATGGAATACCTTCCAAACATAAGGTCATTTACCTCAAACCCTGGTATCGACACGTTATACCTTCAAACAAGTAATAATTGATGTGATTTCAGAATGATAGTAAAAGAAACAAATAGATTTACAACAAAGAAAGCTAAACATATAAGAATCTTTTCTTACATTATATTATAAATCAAGAATGGAAAATTACTGAAACTTCAGAAATTATTGAAAACATATCTAAATATTGTTTATTATTATTAAGTGAAGAAAATAAATTTGGATATATTACATCAAAAAAATCAACTATTAAAATTTCAAGATTTCAATCTAAATTCTTAACAAACTACAATTATTATTCATCATTTCGATTTGAGCGTTGAATCTTATACATTAATGTTTAAATTATTATTAAAACTAATGCAAACCTTTAGATTTATATTAATATGAAATGTTCATAATGACAATTACGAAATTTTCTAAACTTAATAAATTGTATTAATACTTCTAACATCAACTCACCTAGTATTTAATAAAATAAAGTGCATCACCTCAAAAAGTTCAAATTACCTCAAAATTGCTTATTTAATACTTATTTATGACAATAGATGTCATAATACTAACTTGCATACATGTTTGTTAGACATAATCAATTACCTAGGGTATTGTTAATTTCTGGTTGCATATGAATTTTAATAAGTAGAACCTTTTTAAATTGTATTTTGTATTTAATAATCAAATATTTGGTTTCTATTGTCCCATTTAGGCCTATCGACCGAAGATTTTTTGATTTTTTTTATTATTTGCAAATTTTGCTTACATCTTATTTCTTACTGATTTATATTAAATAATATAAGACTATTATAATTGTATTTTGACTTAAATGGAGTTAGGAAGTGAGTTGTTATTTGTGGATATACTGGTTGGTCCTAAAATACATGCTGTTATTATTAATATAGCGAGATCAATAAGCGTGTAATTGATTTTTGCGTTCAGTGGAACTTTTAGCTGCGAGCATAGCGAATGAATGAATGATTAAAGAAACTGAATTCACTCCAAGTGGAGTTGTCGTGGAATTCAATTAAGAGCAGAGCGAAATGCAATCTCCGAAGATGTTTGTAAATGTAATTTGAATTAATGATCGGTTTCATGTTGCAGGCGCAAATAATCGAACCTGAAGGCGAATCGGTGACAACGATCAACAGCGAAGTATACGAGAGTCCCGAAACGAAAGAGATCTTCATCGACGATAACTTCGAACCGGATCCTGCAGCTGACTGCGAGACATCAATAAAGCACAAGTGGACGGCGATAATTGGTGAGAATACGGAAATCGTCGTTGCCCATCTGACGAAGTTGAAGGGTCTTGGGATCAGCTTAGAAGGAACGGTGGACGTGGAAGCCGGAGTCGAGGTCAGACCGAGGCATTACATAAGATCCATTTTGCCGGAAGGTCCTGTCGGCACGAACGGAAAGTTGAGTCCCGGAGACGAGCTGCTGGAGGTTAACGGACAGAAGCTGCTGGGAATCAGACACGTGGATGTGGTGAAGATCCTGAAGGAGTTGCCCAGCACCGTTCGCCTTGTATGCGCACGGGAATCGTTGAAGAACAGAGTGATTAACACTTCTCAAGATCGCGAGGGTTTCGAGGCGAGGAACATCTTGGGTGGAAGCTTGAAGAATCTACTTCCACAGCCGGAGCAGAGGTTGTTAAAAGCTCAAAGCGACACTTCAATAAATACGTCGAGCACGGTGACGATCACTGACGAGAACAGCTTGCAGAAATCCAAGTCCAGATCATTGGAGAACACGAATCTCGCGATGTGGCACGAAGAAATTGACGAAATTGACCTGAAGAAAACGGATCGCGGCTTGGGATTTTCCATTTTGGACTACCAGGATCCGTTGGATGTGAAATCGACGGTCATAGTAATAAGGAGTCTCGTGCCGAACGGAGCGGCAGAACTGGATGGGAGGATCAAGCCCGGAGACAGGTTGATTTCCGTTAACGGAAAAGTCATCAAGAATGTGCCACTGGATCAGGCGGTTCAAGCCCTCAAATCCACTCTACCAGGAATTGTCACGGTCGGGATTTCGAAACCCATAGCCGCAACGACCACCTCCAAAACGACAGAAAACACGCCAACATAATAATAAAAATAATAACGTAACAAGAACAACAACAATCAAATTATAATAAAGCTTTTTGAGACAAGGTAACGTAATTCTAAATTAAACTTAAAAACAAACCAAAAGATAAAAAGACATTAACGACCAAAAGAACCCGTAGTTTTTAAGAAATCCATTAAACAATTTTTAACTAAACTTTTGCAGAAAGAAATTAAAAGGTCACCAGTTTATTATATTTTGTATCTAAACCGTTATTTTCGAAACTTGTTTAGTGGCTAAATTAGGGCTTTGATTTGAAACTGAAAAACAAAACTATATATATATAACATTTTGCTTTTTTTTCCCTCCCATGTTGTATGTCGAAACGATGATGATAATATATTTATATTGTTGATATTTAGGAGACGACTAGTATTCCGAATAGTTTAATATCGAAGAGTGAATAAAGTATATTATATACATATATATTTATTATTATAAATAATGCATCGGGTACCTAAACTATTTGTTTTTGCTAATCTTCCACGTCAAAGGAATTGTCAGATATGTGAATGAAGAGGCACCAAGTGGCGGCAAACCATTTCAACTTTCACTTTTATTGAAAGCACTCATAAAAAAAAAAACGGATTGCGGGTTATAATTCATACGCTTTTTGTATTTTATAATTTAAATGGATATACTCTTCTACTCGAACGAACGGAAATTTTGTAAACATATCGCATTTTCTCCTATCTATAATAGTTTAAGAAAACGTGCGACCTGAAAGATTCATCTTTCTTCAAGTGATGAGTTATAACGTCGGAAGATTTTTTATAGTCAATTATTAAATTGTACGATTCGTTAGTGGAAAACCTGAATGAATTATATAATTCAAATTTGATTTTGCTCAGTATTTCTTTGTTGTCTATACGTATATAGAAATAATTTTCAAACTGTGTTGTTTTTTTTTTCATTATACTTTAACGATTGTATATTTTCTCCCGTTTTATATAAATAAATTATTAATAAACTTTTGTACAACATTTATTTGCCTATTAATATATTCCAAAAATAAATCACGTTTTTTATACTTTTTATAGTAATTTTAAACATATATTGTTTAGTAAATATCTTAAATATTAGAAGATTTCAATTGGGATATTTATATAAAGACAAATAAAATAAATTAATAATTAAAGTAGGTCTTTTATAAAAGTTCTCAACAAAGATTGAAAATAATTATCTACAAAATTTCAGTAAACTTCTTTCTTCATTCAAATTAATTACTTTTAAATAATAAAACTTATTTTGCTTTAAATATTCTGTAATTAAGAAGCTTTTAGGTTTTTGTAAAAATTCCTGAATTTAATAATTGCCCAAAAAAATCTTACAGAATTTCTGGCACAAATCCAGTTTTAATGTTTTCTGAATAAATCTTCTAAAACTAGGCTTTTGCTTCTATAAATGTCTTTTACTTATTTTGATTTATATATAGACTTCAATTGAAAATAACTGTAAACAACTATTCTCTCAATTGAATATTATAACATTGTACGAGTTAAAATCTGACCAAAATAAAATTATATATTAAATTCAATAATAAAAAAAAATAAGTATTTAATAAAAATGGATTTCAATTTAGCCATAAGTGTAATGTTTGTTGCCTATAATTAATGGTAAACTTTGTACATTTGCTTTTTTTTAATAGTTACTAAAATATAGATAATTGACATTTAATTGTTAATAAATATTGGCATTCATTTTGTCAGACGTATGTTAATTTTTTTTGGGGGGTATAATTTTATGAAATTAAATGTTGATTTGCCGCAATCAAAGATCGTTCATCTCGCAGCAAGCTAATTTCCTTTGAAAATCAAAATTTTTAAGTTGAAACAATTTAAATTTTAAGATGCCGAAACGTAGACGTGAGTATTTACTACATTCGATTGATTGAAATGATTCCTTGTGCGAAAGCTTGCGCAATGAATGTGTACGATACAAACAATCGAGCTTCCGCGATGCACAAGTGTATCGATGTGTTTTTTCACATGAGGAATCATTATGATAGATTAAGAAATGTTAAGAGTGTTGTTAATTCTTCTGCCCCGAAAGGTTCGCCGACGAGAAAAGGAAAAAAGTCACCAACGAGGAGGTAAGTTAAGTTTTTGTTGGATGAGAGAGCAGAATTGGATGCTATTTTGAATTGTAGTCCTAGGTCAAAATCAAAGGGACGTTCCAAATCTAGCCGACCTCCGACCAGACGGAATGTAAATGAATCTCCAAAATCTAAGGTTTGTTTATTTTGTAATCGCTTGAGTTTTATAATTAAAATAAAAAAAAATTGTAGAGTGCGGATCGAGGTGGACGTCCAAAAAAGAATTCTTCGGTTGGGAGGATAAGGTCCAAGTCCGATAGGTTCTAATTTTAATTATTATTAATACAATTTTAATACATTTAAATCTGCAGGTGCGACAAACATGATTTGCTTCAATTTTCTTTAAGAATAACAGAAGACATTATCAAAAATGATTTGTATGGAAATGACGACATGATGGCCGTGCTCAATAGCCATTATATGGCAAATAAAGGTGTTCTAGATGAGGATCAAATGGTGAAAGCTATTGTGGATTTGTGCAAAGAACTGAATATACCTTTTGATGTTAAAGTTCTGGACGAACATTACGAGTATTTTCAAAGGCCAAAAACGCCAATAACTGGAGCACAGACCACCTGCATCTGTTCAGAAGTAGCGTTAGATGAAGAAGACGGGTGCGCTTGTTACTGCGAGTGCAAAAACGAGAGGAAACCTCCCATCGAGTGTAACGCCCACAACGACAACGAAGAGGAGGATCATAAGTTCTCTGAGGTTCAGATTTATCCAATTTTGATGGATTTACTGGATCTCGCGCATACCAAAAGCAACGAACTGAACAGATCCAGCAATGAAGACCAGAGTTTGAAAAACGTGCTCAAAACTTTGAAAGCCAGTAAAAAACCGCCGCGATGCGAATGCGGAGCTGCGTCCTGCGATCCGAGCACGTGCGAATTGTCGAGCACAGAATTGCTTAAAACGGAAGTTCCGGTCGAAGATGTGCCAGAAGGAGAGGAAGATGAAGCAGTTATCGAAGAGCAGGTCCCAGAAGAGGCGGTTATCGAAGAGCCGCCACAACCCGAAACTAAAGACGTGGGCTGTGATTGTTTAGATCAAGATTGTACAAAGGATAAATTCTTGGCTTATTTAGAGTATTTCGAGAAGCACATAAGTCACGTTAAACATCTTAGGGCACTAGATACACATCATCAAATGACCACGATTGAGCCTAAAAAGATCGAAACGCAAGATTTATCTGTTCAAACGAGTAATGATCATTTTCCCGCTACTCCGGTACGTTCACAGGTGATGCCAAAGCAGAAGCAAACGGCTTCTTTTCAATGCGGCTGCAGTTTAGAGAATAAAGCGAAGTCGACCAATTTGAGATCTCGTCCTAAAGCTGAAGTCAACAGACAACCTAGTTACGTGCATTCTGAAACGGAGCAATACTTAGTACTCAAGGGACCAATTTACATTCCGAAAGCGCCTTCGGATAAAAATTCTGAATTTGTGACACTCTACTCTCCAGAATCTTGCAATTGCGGAAACCAGACTCCCTCGAAATTGAAAAACTGTATGTCAAAATCCCAATCGAACGTCACCACTTCCGGTTATGCAAGCCACTCCTCCACCAATCGCGAATCTCCACGTGATCCTTTTTCCTGTGCTTGTTTCAAAGGAATCAAAATGAAAAAATGCGAGCAGAGTTCTCGATACGAGAAGAGCACAATAAAACAGAAGGAACTATGGAATCCCGATAACTATCACGATTACGATCTAACTCCGCAGAAGGATACTTTTCTCGCCGAAACCACAAAACCATCCAAGTGCGGCTGTTCTAAAAGCAATAATTTGCTACTTGGAAATCATTATAACGTAACTACTGTCCAAGACGACAATAACATGTCCTATTTCTTTCCGACAATAGCAACGCAAGTGAGTTCCATGGATCTCATGGATTATAATTTCAAACAAAAAAAAGAACCTTCCGAGCTGAAACTTAACAATTTATCGATGCAGCAAATGCAACAGGACGATATTCAGAAACCGAAGCATGCCATGATAGAGTCGGATATCCCGGAGAAGGAAGAAGAAGAAAATGGAAAAACAAAGGAAAAATTTAAAGAAATGAATGAACAAGACGTGCTGAAAAAGCTGGACAGGATAACCGCTGCGGCAAGTATGAGCGATCCTACTATACCCGATGACGCGTCCAGCTTGAGCGTATAACATTTTCCACTAATTTAATATTTATAATTAATTATCTTTTTTTAAGGCAACGAGCCCTTCTGAAGAAACAGTAGAAAATTTGTCCAAAGAATCTATAGAAAATAGAGAACGTAATGTAAGTATCGTTGATGTTATGGAGGTAATGAAGGATGCTCAAAGTTTGAAGAAAACGTCGACCTACGCAAATCGCATTCAATCGAGAAAGTAATTTGTTGAAACGTTATGAAAGTTGATAAATTTCTAATTGTTGTTTAAATAAATCATATTTTGTACAGCGACATCTCTATATATCTCTAGGAGTTTTACTTGTACTTAAGCTATGCGCAAGTGCGCTTACACATGAGCTTCTTAAGCTCATGTGCTCCTGATAGAAAATCTGGAAAAATCGATATTACTTGATTAGCTCGATTGCCGTGCCAGTTTGATTTAAATTTTCTACTTCGTTTTGAAAACGCATGTTTTAGACAACCAAATGAACATAATAACACCAATGGTAATCATATTTAAACTAGTTACATTTCCTCTCAACGAACCAAAATTAATTCATTACTTTAACAAAACTATTTTTCAGTCGAATATAATAATTACAATATTTTATTAAATACAATTTGACAATCAACTAACGCATTTATAGAAGTTACTTAATAGCAATTAATTTGGGATTCAAATTTAAATAAATATGTTTATATATACTTAAAATTTTATTGTTCTCCATATCAATAAAAAAAATATTTATGATTTTTAGCAAAAGTACATAAAAAATATCTCATCAAAATCGTTAAACAAGCAGAGCAGGAGCCGGCTTCTTACCCGGCCACGCTTCTTTCGCGTACTTCTTTTTCTTGGGTTCAAGACTTTCATTAGCTTGCTGCTGTGGTGGGATAAATGGAGTTGGAGGTACAAAGCTTGGTTCCATTTCAACGTCAGGTGCAGGGTTTGGCAAAAGCATACCAAGTCTTGAACTCAGCGAGCTATAAATGCCGGCATTCGCTACGGTAGTGTTATTCTCCGGTGGTAAATCTTGGTATAATTGAGGAATCGTAGGGTGAATGGTTTTTGGCATTTTGAAATCGGAACTGGGAATGCCTATCGCTTCCGTCAATTTTTGTCGCTTTTGGGTCGTTGGTACTACAGTGGTTTGTATCAAATTCCTAAAACGTCCAACCGACGGATCGATATCTTCTGGATTAATTATTTCCTCATCTTCATTGAACGACACTCCTCGTCGTTTACGCTTCCTATTACTGTTTCGTTTCTCCGTATCATCAGAAATGCCCAGCATAGAAATTCGTCTGTTATGGGCGGTATTAAATTCCGTCAGGTTCTAAAACATTAACAATTAATAATAAAATTATAAAACTTTTAACATATAATAATAATTTACATCTAACTCTGTTTCTGTTTCCGGCAAACCCAATAAACCTCCTTCTGTTTCTTCTCCAGCTTTCTCAATTTCATCTATAATTGGACGAATGCCAGCCTGTGGTCTTTCTCTTAAAATATAATTTCTTGTGGAAGCACCAAAATGAAAACCAGAATCTATTGGCAACTGGGTTGGTTTATATGCTTCCAATCTAAGAGATCCAATGAAGGTACCATGAGCTAAAACATATCTCATTTAATACATATCACTTTAAAATGCAAATATACTGACTGCTTCCTAGATCCACTAAAAATGCTCTGTTCAGGTGCTTGTGATAAACAAGTGTTGAGTGCACACGGGAACATGATGCATGATCTATACAAAAATCATTCATCTGTGCATTTCTACCAAATAGATAACATTTCTTTTCATCAATCATTAACTTTTGTATAAGCTTGTCTCCTTTTAATACATCCAAGTGTAACCCGATGGGGGGTTTTCCAGCCCTAAAATGGTCAAAAATATGATAAAGTATATCCTACAAGTACTTGACATAATTTAACACACACCAACTAGGCACCTCATAATGGTTTGCCATACTAATTTAATTACAATACATTCAAAATATTTTTCAATACACTATTGACACATTGTTGTAGATTTGACATATCTGAAAACACTGAATTATACTTATGTATGCCAGGATCTGGATTAACCCTAGCTAACTTCATGGTAAAGTGTAATAATAAACATTTCTATATTCTTTATCAGGAAATTATTTAAAAGTTTATATTATGTTCATTAAATATTGCTTTAATATAATTAAATTTCTTCCATATGAATAAAAACATGTAAAGTTAATTGCATATTTTCTCTGGTAGATGTCTCTTCGATGGCATAATGTGTCAAAACTCGTCAAAGTGACAAATGTTATCAAAATAAAGATTTGATTTTCTCCAACTTGCGTGTAAATGTTGTCAATGTGAACGTACTAAATCTCAATTTTGAAGTGGAACCATCTGTGATATATATTCATTTTCTTATGAAAGCAGTTAATAATGAGATTGAAACGTACTGTGGCTACTGTAGCTACCCTTGCAATAATAACGATATGTTTTGGTATATATTTAACGATGGATTTGGCGATTTTTCCCAATCGCAAAACTTCCATCCAACAGGAATTCCAAGATGTAAATATATAATAATTCCATAGTTTTTAGTTGACCCTATTAATTGATTTTTTTTCATAGAACAAGTGGTTACATTTTGAAGGAAGACTGAAGCAGTTGGAGAAAGACTTAAATAAAAATCATGATGCAGTTGGTGAAATCAAACAAGCAATAAGACACATACTTCCCAGTTCTACTGAGAATTCTAACAAGATTGTGAAAACTATAGAGGAACCAATGGGAATGCCTGCACCTATATCTGAAATGATATTTGATTCTTCTTGTCCCATTAAAGTGACTTATCCTCCAAGGAATGATATACAGGTACTGTCAATCATTGGTTTATATTTGTATTGGCATTAATCTATTTTATTTTGAGATGTTGGAAATGTACAAAGATATGAAATTTGATAATCCTGATGGAGGGGTATGGAAACAAGGCTGGAATATTAACATCAATGAAAATATGTGGAATAAGCACCATAAATTGAAGGTCTTTGTAGTTCCACATTCACATAATGATCCTGGTTGGATAAAAACGTTTGAAGAATATTATGATTCCCAAACTAGGAATATACTTAATAATATGGTGGATAAGTTGCCAGAAGACCCAAGACGTAAATTTATTTGGGCAGAAATTTCGTACTTTTCAATGTGGTGGAAAGATTTGCCAGCTCACAAGAGAGATGTGGTGAAAAAGTGAGAACAATTTCATTTTAGTGCACAAGAGTTATTATGCAAGCTATGTTTTACAGATTAATTAAGAGCAATCAATTGGAAATTGTAACAGGTGGTTGGGTTATGAATGACGAGGCAAATTCGCATTGGATATCAATTGCCAACCAATTGTATGAGGGTCACCAGTGGTTGCACATGAACTTAAATTATACTCCAGTCAGCAGTTGGTCCATTGATCCATTTGGAATGAGCGCAACTCAGCCAGTTTTATTGAAGGAGATAGGATTGAAAAACATGCTTATTCAAAGGGTCCATTACTCGGTTAAGAAGCAACTGGCGAGTCAAAAGGATCTCGAGTTTAAATGGAGACAACTTTGGGGTAAACAAAATATACTGTCATTTAATGTAATAACAAGTCTATGAATGCGATTGTAGATGGTACCGGCGAAACGGAGATTTTTACACACATGATGCCTTTCTATTCTTACGATATACCTCACACTTGCGGGCCTGATCCGAAAATTTGTTGTCAGTTCGATTTTCGAAGATTGCCGAACCACGGACTGAACTGCCCTTGGCGTATTCGACCTCAGCCTATCACGGATGCAAATGTCCAAGAAAGGTAAACATTTCGCATCAATTTATCAAGCATATTTGAAAATAATTTAATTTTAAGATCAATAACGCTGTTAGATCAATATCGGAAGAAATCGCAGCTCTACAAAACGAACGTAGTTTTAGCACCTTTGGGTGACGACTTTCGATATGACCATTCGGTCGAGTGGGATGTACAATATAATAACTATCAAAAGTTATTCGATTACATGAATTCCAATAGAAATTTGCACGTTCAGGTAAAATAGTTCAAAGTTAATATAACCTGTTTTAATGCATCCTTTATATACATTTAGGCACAATTCGGTACTTTAACCGATTATTTTAATGCCGTTAAAGCTGAGAAAAAACTTTCGGAGTTTTCTTCATTATCTGGTGATTTCTTTACATATGCGGATAGGGATGATCATTATTGGAGTGGATATTATACCTCCAGACCGTTTTACAAACGTATGGATAGAATTTTGTTATATTACATTAGGTAAGTTTATTATATATGATATAATTTTATGAGTAAACATTCTATTTTCCCCATTATTTTTTAATAAGTGGTTATATTCGATAAGGTAGGCAACGAGACTAATTCATTCAGGAAATCAGTCAATTTTATACTATATAAATAAATTATATATTATTTCTAAAATATAACTCCTGTAAAACATAAATGCTCTAATTAATGATTTTTCGTTGCATTTGTAGATCAGCAGAAATTTTATTGTCGTTGGCACATATTAGCGGAAAACCAGGTTCTAAATGGATTGCTCATAAAGAAAATGGATTAGATACAATCATGACAGAAGCAAGGCAAGCTTTAGCGTTATTCCAACATCACGATGGTGTGACGGGAACCGCGAAGGATGCGGTCGTTAACGATTACGGACAAAAGTATGTATAAATAAATATTTATAAATTAGGTTTTGTGAACATTGATGATGTTTAGGATGTTGGATGCTATCTTGAAATGTCAAAATGTGGTGCAGAGATGCACTAATTTACTGCTGGATGGACTTGGTGCCGATAATCAGGCATCCGAGACGATTTTCTACAATGTAGATGATTTGAGGCAGAAGCAGGATTCTCTTCCAGAACAGTACACAATCACAATTGGATCGGAAGTGAGCGTTAAGAAAGTCGTGATTTACAATGCGCTAACATTCAACAGACACGAAACCGTCAGCTTTTTAGTTTCCACGCCGTTCGTTGAAGTGAGTACAATATATTCAAGTTCCGCACAGGCTTATTTATATTTTTTCTTTAGGTATTAGGCTACAACGATAAAAGGATCCCATGTCAAATTGCTCCGATATTCGAACATTTGGCTTCAATGTCGCAGTCCAAGTATAAGGTTTCTTTTGTAGTAAACATTCCAGCGCTCAGTTTGGTGCGATACATAATTAACGCGATCAACGAAAACGAAATGCCAATGTGCGTACTTAACTATACCTAAGTTGGTGGTTTTTTTTTTGAATAACTTGTTATTTTAGGGAGTCCTCTCTCAGCACCGTTCAAATTTACAACTTGCAAGCAGACGTCGAAGCGCCTAAAGGCTTCGAAAACGTGGACATTTCCCTTAGTCCAAGCGAATTCACTATACAGAATGCAAGAGTAACAGCGTCTTTCAGCGAAATGGGTTTGCTGAAAGCCATGCGTATAGGCCACCAAACGTACCCCGTCCATTTAGATTTTGCAAAGTACGTTCATAATAAACGTTCCGACGTTACATAATTATAAATCGTGCAATTTATTGTAGATACGGAGTGCAGCAGCAGGCGGAAAGAAGCGGTGCTTACTTGTTCCTGCCCAACGGTCAGGCCACGCCTCTAGCCGCTTCGAATACTGTCGTCAAAGTGATTACTGGTCCAATATACTCGTCGGTTTCCGTTAAAATTCCCTACGTACAACACACAGTCACATTATTCAACACTACTGGTAAATAATAACACACTACGCCCGGTATACTATTAATTGATGTTGGATATTTGACAATAATGTGTATTCACCGTGAATATTTACAAAAATATAATTTTTAGGCGCCGATAGCTTAGGTTTAGAAATTGAAAACATTGTGGATATTAAGGAAACTAATAATTTCGAGTTAGTGATGCGTTTCTCGACAAAAATCAACAGCACTAATGAATATTTCACTGATCTTAATGGATATCAGGTAATGTTCGTAAGTTATCTTTCACTTGGCTAATTAAAATTTTCAGGTTCTGAGGAGAAAACGTTTCAAGAAGTTACCGTTACAAGCGAATTATTACCCAATTCCCACCGGTGCTTACATCGAAGATTCCGATACGCGTTTAACCCTGCTTACGGGCAGCCCAGGGGGAGGAGCTTCTCTGCGTTCGGGTGAAATCGAAGTGATGCTTGATAGGAGATTAATGCAGGATGACAACCGTGGTTTAGGACAAGGAGTGGTTGATAACAGACCTACTCGGAATATTTTCAGACTTCTTTTGGAGAGGAAAACACACAAATGCCAAGTATTTCATTTCATTTTCATCCAAAAAGACTCATTTTCATTTCAACTATTTTAGACAACTTCAGATAACCATCCTTCCGGTTTCCACACCATTTCCGCACACGTTGCCTTAGAAACAATGATGAATCCGCTTATGAGAATGCTGAGAACCGATGACAATGATGTTACATCACAAACTGGCTATACGCCTATAACGACGGAATTTGGTGTTGATATGGGATTAAGCAGTTTAAAAACAGGAGTTATATTGGATAATAAAGAATATTTAGGAATGATCCTGCACAGGAAGTATTTGGATATTTGCTTTAGTGATAGAGTTTTATTGAAGCAATTTCCATTGAGCGATGGAACTGTAAATAATATTTGAATTCGTTGTTTTGCCGTATTATTTATGTTTTGTTTAATTTTAGGTGAATATTAGTGGTATTTTGCCGCCATCGGTAGCGAATTCCAAGATTAACAGAGCCCCATTGACATTCTTGAGTATACAAGAATCAGTAGATGTGCAAAAGAAAATTCCCATTTGCCCTATGGACACTAAAGCTTTCTTGTTGCATAGATAAATAATCAGTTTCAGCAATTTCCTATTTATTAATAATAAAGTGAATAAAAATATTATCTTTTTGTATTATTTGAATGGCCTTGCATGCATCAGATTGGAAATGAAAGTGGTTTAAGTTGATTTTATTCACTGGCCATTAATATTCTACAAAGAAACGAATAACATCTAAAGTATTTTTTGAATTTTTATATTTATATATATTGTATATAGGTATATACACACACAGACACACAAGGGATTTGTTCGTTATATTATAAATATACTTGGTAGGGGATTTTTACACGAATTAAATAAAAAAATGTTTAAAAAATAATAACTTCGGTTCAACTTTTTGAGCACTACAAAATTTATTAAGTGCTATTTAACGTATACAATAGCACCCCTGTATTGGGTTAAGTAATGCCAACTTAGTTTTTCAAATGAAATTTCCATAAAATTAAGTTGGCCGAAAAATAAATATTGAAACTAAACAAACGGGACAAACATAAAAAGCCAGGTGAAATAAGCAAGATTATAATGATATCACATAAAAGTGTTTTTTTTCGAAGAAAAAAAAAAGAAATGGATTAATAATAAAAAATAAATACAATATATATAAAAAAAACTAAAGATAAAGAGAAAAACGAGTATTTTCTTATAGCTAAATTAAACATAGTATACAGAATGGAATAATTAAATAATCTGTTCTTTCGCTTTCAATCCACAACGATATTTAATTATTATTACAAATAGAGGATGGAAGATATTACAAACCCTATATAATATATATATACGATAAAGTTAAATAATATTAAAATTAAGAGAAAAAGAGGAGGACGAGGAGAGAAGGACACTGACAGTTTCAACGTCAATCAATCCATCAATGTGGGGTTCAAATACTTGTTACTTCCAATGAGTAAGGAATGTAAAAAATAAGCCTTAATACCTAAGTACATACACCTATTTTATCTTTCCTCTTTTACATATGTCTTGAAAAAAGAACCTATTGAGAATAAAAAAAAATATATATATAAAAGAAAAAGATAGAAAACGAAAAAATCTCAATTCAATAATACTGCTGTTTTGAATAAAAATAACGAAACATTGTAGGAATTCAAAAACGGAAATTCTTATATCCAGTCTATTCACAGTCTTTAAATTTTTCATTTTTAATAATACTTGAAATTAGTATATTATATTGTGCTCTTTTTTTATATTATGTTTTTCTTGGATAGGTAATCATACACTAGGTCACGTGTATAAGAGTTTTGGCACAATCTTCCATCTCAAAAAGGAAACTTAATGAATTTCGGAATTTCCCGCATTTTATACATTATCTCATCTCGAAAAAATATTCTGTCTCTAAATCTTTCTCCTTGTTATATTTTTTAAATATATTTTTTTTTTGATAGTGTATAAAATGGCAGAGAGAGATTGTATAAAACGATGAACACAGAGACTTATATGATATTTTTTTTGTCATAAAATAATAAATTAGTAAAAGTGAAGGAGGATCAGTTTTGGACCGCAATCATTGGTTTACGCCTCGACCCTGACCGGCGTCGACTCAGCGCTGTCTTCAATTTTTTTTACCTTGATCTCTTCGTCCTTGTTCTTCTCTTCTGTAGGGGTGGTGGTGGTCCCATTCTCAACCTCTCCATTCTTGGCGACGGTGGTTGAGGTGGTAGTTGTTGTCGAATCACCATTTTTCTCTGCTCCGTTGGCAATTTCGCTCTTGTTTTCCTTTTCTTCCTCAACGCCATTTTCCACCTTCTTCTCGCCTTCCTTCTCTTCAGCCTCTTCCTTCTTTTCTTCATCAGTTTCTGGTTTACTATCCTCCTTTTTACCATTCCCTACGGTTTTCTCCTCAACTTTAGGCTCATCTGGCTTAGTTTCTTCGTCTTTTGTCTTTTCCTCCTGCGATTTAGCTTCTTTCGCTTCAGCTTCTGTTGTGGAAGGTGTGGTTGTGGTGGTAGTAGTGGCGGCTGCTCCTGTAGGAGTAGTAGTATCTACTTCTGTCGTTTTAGTTTCCTCTGCCTTTTTCTCTTTTGGTTCCTCTTTTTTATCCTTGTCTTCTTCAGCTTTGACGTCATCTGTCTTTGACTCTTCAACTTTTTCAGTTGTTGTTTCAATTTCAGGTTTGTTCTCTGTTTTAGGCTCTTCTACAATCTTTTTGTCTGTCTCTTTAGCTGCAGCTTCATTGACAGATTCTACCACCTCTTTTGGTTTCTCCTCAGTGGTCTCCGGTTCTGGTTTAGTGGTTGTGGGTTCTTCTTGAACCTCCTCCATTTTTGACTCCTCTGGCTTGGATTCTTTAGCTTCCTCGGCTATCTCTACCTTTTCGGAATCTGTCTCCTTGGCTTCTTCAGCTGTATCAGTCTCCATACTTTCCTCGGCCTTCTTTGGTTCGGCTTCTTTTACCTTTTCCGGCTCCGTTGTGGAGACAACTGCCTCCTTTTTCTCTTCTGCGTCTTCTTTCTTTTCAACGGATATTTCCTCCTCTTTAGGTGCCTCTGCAGTTTTCACTTCTTCTGGTTTCTCTGATTTGTCAGAAGAATCTACGTCCATAGCTTCCTCGACTACTTCGGTTTTCTTTTCCTCTTTCTGCTCAGCATCTTTCGGTTCCGAAGTTTCTTCAGTCTTAGCGACCTTGCTGGGAGGAGCCTAGAATATATCAAGAAAATAATATTAATTTTGAGGCCATCGACTTCGCCTTCAAAACTACGATAACCCATACGATAAACTCTACGTAATCTAAACTAAACTAAAAGGAGAACGGTTTCTGGGATAAAAAGCAAAGTTGTAGGAATATAAAATAAACACTAGACTAAAACAACCAACATAATAATAAAACACAAATATTTTATTCTATTTTACTGTTTTTTTTAAACACAACAAAATAAAATTATATTATGTGAGAAATTGAACTAAACTGGAACAAAGATTATAGAAAAGCAAAATGTCTACTTTGAATAAAATTCTATTTCCTTAATTTCTTTCTTACCTCAGTGGAGACATCATCTGGAGTCTTACGCTTTGCAGAAGCTAACTCCGTAAAGCTGCTTATTGTCGTAAATTCCTTGCGATCTTCCTCCTTAATTTCGGCGTTTCCTTCACGTAATACCAGAACGGCATTGCAGCCAGCTGTTTTAGCTGCCTTTGCCTCTGAAGTAGATCAAAATAAATTTTAATATCGATAACATTTATTTTATGTTTAAATCATACCTTCAAGGTTATCAGTGACAAAAATGACTTCTTCTGGTTTAAAACTGGCTTCTTTTGAAATTTTCTCGTAACTAGCAGACTCTGTTTTTGATCCAACTGTTTGATCGTAATAGTTGGTGATGAACGAGGATAAATCACCCTCAGTTGTGTGAGAGAATAGCTGTTTCTGTGACTCGACAGAACCTGTACTGTAGATCATAATTTTCTTGGTTTTCGACCAATTTTCCAAGTTCTCTTTGACGTCAGCGAAGACACTAAGGATACATTGCATTACTTAGTAAACGAATAAAGATATTAAATAGGAATATAATTACTGTGCTTTTAGATCACCAGATTCGTATCCTTTCTTGTAGATCAAACCTTGTAAACTCTTTGCACCTTTATTATCGGTGTCGTCGTTTGTGGCTTTTGTAAATTGCTCGACGGCTTTGGCGACTTCAGCTTCAGCACCTTCGGGCAACTCCTTGACCGCCTCTTTGACATCATCGGATTCCCAGTTCGCCTTCAAGTATTCTTCGGCATGTTTTACGGCGAACGGAAAGAGAGTATCCTTCAAATAGAAAATCAGAAATGTAATTATCAAATAGGAAATTCATTTCAGTCGGTGCAGCCTGCCATCCAACAGATGTTTACTAGCAGCTGCTTCAACCGCTAAAAAAATACAGAATTAAACAGGTAAAAAAAACAATCCCCCAAAGTTTCCAAAGCCCAATTTAATGAAAATTTTGAAAATATGTTTTTAGTATTACTATTCATATCGCAATCTCAATGCACATGACTAATAAATTTAAGATATTGAAGATATATGTTTTCAATAATAAACATATAAAGTTTATTGAGTAATCCAATATCAAAACGCATATTAATTTAAATGCGATACTTGTATTGTGTAAAATAGTAAACAATAAATATTTTGTTAATAATGATAACAAATAAACACATCTAAATCATGATTGAATATTATGAAACAATATTTATCATATAGAATAACAAACATAAACTATGCATTTGTATAACCATTCCATATTCAGTATGCTTATTATTAAGTTAAGAAAAAAAGGTAAATTATTTGATTAAATTAAGTGATTAATGATTAATGAAAATTATTTTAATTCAAAATTATATTTTATGATACGTATTAGAACTAAGATCAAATATAAATATAAAAATACGACAAAAAAATGATTTAAAAACAAACAATGAATCATACAATAAATGTTTATAGTTGTCATATTTCATGTTTAATCAGCTGATCCGCAAGTATAAATCTAGGTGTGCGGGTGTTTGATTTCATTGTTTAAATTTAGTGTACAATTTCAGCCAATTGAAAAACAAATAATGAAGTTAATTACGACCGTAATAACGATAACATGATTGGCTTGTAACCGTGACAACTAACGCGAATGGGTGAATGGATCCACGTTGAAGAAATAATAAAGCGCAAACCAGTTGCATTACATTGTTTACATAACCTATAGCTGCGACTAGGCATTTGGCAGAGAGCAACAAAATAATAGATTTGAAAAAAATCCACAGGTAGAAAAGGACAATAGCAACCCGCATTGTCGGAAAGATTTAAAGAGTGCAAAAAACGCAAAGATAAGGCTACCTCTAATGCAGGTGCGATGTTATTGACCCCCGTAGTGTCGCGGGGGCGGCTGGTGATAAGAGATTTCGGTGGCGGGTGATGAATTTCGGAAGGCGCGAGCCAATTTTCCAGTTGGCGGTTTAGTTTAAATGGTTCTAAAAATAGAACCAGTTCAGATTATCTACCTGAGAGAGCCCGAATGTGTTCGAGTGAAATATATATACGTATAAAGAGAGGGAGAGAGAGAAAGTCAGTGTATGCTCTTTTTTTTGTTAACAAAAGACAACAATACTAGCGAGAAATTTTGCACAGACTGTACAGAGAGCGCTAGAGACAAGGATGAATGCACTAAGGGCTGATTTTTACCTGTCCAAGGACAATCTACGGTAACGTTTCGAGACGAGTTGTAACAATGTTTGGGAGTGTGTGGGTCATTGGGAGATTGAAGAATGAACAGTTTTCCTCCTTGCTGATATACTTTTTTGCCTTAGCCGAAGAGAAATTTCGTTCTGTACATGAGCGTTTCGCTCTCTCTTAATCGCTGTATGTGTACGTATGGAAGTAAATTTTGTATACAAAAAGCACCCGGTCTTTGGTGCGGCGTTGCCGGTTTTCGTAACCCGGGCCGTGCGATTTGTAGTTGGAAAATTGTGAAAAACGCGTCCCGTTTTGCTGCAGATTTAGTGGAAATCCGGCGATGGCGCGGTCTGGGAAACGCGGTTAACTTGTTTACAAACGAGTCTTGTTTTGCGGGATGGGCGACGCGCGGCAACGTCGCCGCACTGCAGCCGGCTTTTATATGCACATGCAAAATACACTCAAAATCCTTGTCCTAGGCCAAGATATCTAACGGAAATTGCGAATGTTTGTTGCTTTATACCTGCCGATGGGGCGGAGAACGCCCGGCGGGGGAAAAGCGGAAAATCGCACGGAAATGCGTGCGAATTGCAGCCACCACCGCTGCTGCTGCGAAAATGGAATATCCCGAACGCCACCCCTGGACAACCTTGGGTCGAAGTTGCCCGGGGATGCCATTGTTTCCCAGCAACGGGAACTGAACAAAAGACTAATACTGCCCGATGGAAACAGTTGAAAACGTTTGGAGCAAGAGTACAAATAATAATAATACATAAATAAAAGAAATAAGAATAAGATGTTACCTTCACAAAGTTGATGGAGGTGGTTGTCCCGGAGACGTCCAACAGGATTGCGGCACATTTATCAAAGTTCTCACTACTCATCTTGGCTGCCTTCTCTTTTTTTTTCTCTCTTTACTTTTTTGTACTTTCGCTAAGTTCTGCGCTTTTTGAAATTGATTCGCTGTTAGCTCTTTCGCAGTCAACACGCAAGTGACTAGAACGGCTTTGCTTTCTCTGCTAGTCCTGTTCTTGCGAACCTTGTGCGATTTGCTAGGTATTGGGGGCTGCTAGGTTTGCAATATAAACGGCAAGTTCACAGCTTCACTGTTTAGTGAAAAATGCAATCAGTCAACGACACGAAATGGTGAGGTGAATGTGAGTAGACGCATGCGCATATGGTCGCAGCCCGCCAAACGATCGTTAACGGTTTCGCACGACTCTCGCGAACAGCGCGCAGAATTGCCAAGGCTGCCAACCCTCGCGCACGAATTAACCCCGACGGAGGCCGTTAATCGATCCGCGAGGATCCGGTTATCCTGTCGCTTGGTCCTCGATGGCGGACATCGCGGAACGGATGCAATCCACGCATGCCAACGCGAAATGCAAAGTCCCCAAAACGCGAAAAACATTTAAACTTTGACATTTACCCATGTTTATTGATTAGTTCTATTTATATGCAACGCAACTTATTCCTTTTTATTACAGCATTATTATTGCAGCCTCCACCCCCGCACTATTCAATGCAAGAGAGTACGCAATTGAAATGCAAATAATTGATTTTAATCCAGAAAATACTGTATTTGATAAATGTCTGTCCTTAATCCACCCTTTTGATGTTAATACATTCCAATTTAAACAGATTAATTATAATTGCAATTAGCATCACTCAAAATTAATAAATCACTAAATCAATAATATCATTAGTGTTTTAGTATTGTACTATATATAGACTTATTATAAATTTAATTCTATCTAAAAAGTACCACCTGACTGTAATGAGTTTTTTAGTCGTATACATTAAGTTTAAAGATTTTTGTTTTGTACACATCGAAGTTGATAAAATTTCATTCATATATAATCCGAGACTAACGTTGCTTAACTGTCGTAAAATGTTAAATATTAAGTATGACGTTATTTTTTTTTTGTCTTAATGACATTAAATTTATTTGATATTAATAATCACTATAATATAATAAAAATAGTTACTACTAAAATAGTATTATTTGAATCGATATAGAAGCAACAAAAACAATATAAAATATGAATCAAATAAAAGACCTAAATCCTCTTCAATTGGAAATACCATAATAGAAATCCATATAAATAAACTAATATAAATTGAAATAGATTTATAATAACATAATGTATAATATTTCGCAACGTTTACATTAAATATGACGCATTAAATAGTAAACATCGAATAAGATTCACTTCCAAGAATCACAATCTGTTACAGCTCAACGTAAGCGAATTAGCATATAAAATCAAAATAAAGAATGAAGTTTACGCCACTGATATGTTAAGAAAATAAATAGTACGTGACGACTGGAAGCGACATCTGCAGTGAACAAGGAACATTGCTGTCGTAGAAATTTGCAATCATTTGCAATTTTCCAAGCTTTTCAATCCATATATTTTTACTTTTTCATGAAAAGACCTTATAATTAATAAAATGCACTTTTTATTTCAGCCAGTAAATGCTTCAAAACAATATTTTATATGTAACTATAGATAGGTTAATTTACCTGTATTACAGATATCTGCTGCGCAAGTAATTCATCCATTGGCGTAACGGATAGATGATTTAATTTTAAATAATTAATTGGATTTTAAAATTGCAAATCTTTAATTTTGAATATGTTTTATTTATATTATCTAAATAATAATAATATTTATTGCAATAATAAATTACAAAATTAAAAAGTTAATACAATAACAAAAATAAAATAAAATTCAACTGTTGCAAAGAGCTATTGACCATAAGTGTTTCTGCCTGGCCTAAATAATATTTAAAGAAAAGTTATTAATTTTATATGATTCGTTTATTGATATATGATATTTAATTAAAATACGTAATTATCTGGTTTTATAATTTAGTTTAGTTTATTTGTAGTAACTAAATAATTTTACATAATATTACGATTATTATCTCTTAAGAATTTCGCCAAATTCTATAATAATTTTTAACTATACAGTAACTTAATAATTAAAGCAGGTAAGTGGTTTCACAGAAAAAAAGGCTGTAATCTTCGGCCAATAATTGAAATTGCAAGAAAATTGCAAAAAAACGCAACCTATTGACAGAAGTCAATACAATTAAGAAACATACAATGAAACGTTACGAGAAAATTTAGCATATCATGAAAACATAAGAAACACTTCGAAACGTTGTCTTACGTTCATAATATTTATTAAATGCGATACTCTTTATATAAACACAATATTAATTTCAAAATATAATCTTAATTACAGCACAAACTTTGAAGTTATCTATATAAAAACATATACCATTTCCTGTTCGTTAATGCATTATTATTATTTCATGTTAAAACATGTGATCATATGAAAAATTCATTATTAAAAATGTATTTGATACTAAATTTTAATAAAGACCATTTTCAATACATTTTATCATAATATTGAATATAGTAATAAACTAAAATACTTTGTAGTATATAAATATTACATAGTGTTTTTTTAATGTAGTTTAGATCAGTGTCACTTGCATTATTCAAATGTATTTTTCCAATTTGGAAATGAAACTTTTTAAATGTATTTTCCCATATTTTAATATAGTTAATAAGTTAGTACTTGAAATATACACAAAGTGCATTTAAAATACTATAATTTTGTTTATCTATAACCAAGCGATTGGAGTAAACAATATAATGAAATATTGTGTGTGTGATCCAAAATACTAAAATGAATGAACAAAAATGTCTACTTAAAATGCCATCAATCTAACACAACACTAAAAAATAGTATTTCGTACTGAGGTATGTACCACATGGGAGAAACGTACAAAGTAAATACACATTCGGTGCAGCGGTTCAGTTTCCTTTCATTTCCCAAACAGGTGTCGGTTCAAAATTCTTGGGAATACATACCTCACTAGATGTCTCAGGGAACAGTTAACAAAAGGGACAGGTGTTGCCCACAGTTGTAACACAAAAACGTGATGCTGAATCCTGAAATTTTGGAGTCAGGACCAGGAAGCCCACCTGGCTTAAACAAAAGCTCTATATGCAACGAAACGGTGACCTCTTTGGAGATAAAAGAAATTTACTATTTCACTTTTTTTGATAAATGTTACTGAGAAATATGTTCTACTTGACAATTGTAATGCAATTGTTAAGACTAATGGAAATTGTGAGTGTGAATGAAATTGTATGCAAATGATAAGATATTTTAAAGAAATTTATTAATTAATAATAAACACAATACATTTAGAGTATTAATTGTAATTTTCTCCAAAAATAGAGACAAATTGATTTTATTTTTATTTAAATTTATACAAAAATTAAAATAACAAACAAAATAAAATCTCACAAAACAAAACTTCTATAATATTACATAAAACTATAACAAAATAAAATTTACTCCATAGAAAACCATACAGATAAGCCAAAACCATAACATTTATCAAAATGACTATATTATTTTATTTCTTAATTTTAGATGGAAGGATTTTAAAAAGGAAGGAATTCTATAGATCTATTGCTCAAATAGGTCCTTGTTTTAGATAGGAAATTTGCAGAAATATACAATATATAAACGTCGCATTCATTACCAGACGATTTTTTTTCGTTGTTGAAAATTTCTTAGTAATGGAGAACTGGACGCTTTTGGCATACTTGAGTATAGTAGCTTAACGAGCATAGTCCGTTCCAAAATTTTCGGATTTTTACTCGTATTTACTCGAAATTAATTTCGTTCGGTTTACAGTTACATTCCATGTAAATGTTTATCGTTCCAGATTCGGTTCATCTAAAAATTTCGGTTCGGTTCTGGTTGAACATCCTTTTTAATCACTTTAATTTCAGTTTGTTCTAATGTTAGTTGCGCAAGACTTGTGCTTGTTCTTTCTTATTCAAATTTTCTCTTTTTTGTCGGTGATTATTTGAGAGATTTTTGTTTTTGAAGTATTCGACTTGATAAAAACGGGAGTAGGGCTTTATTTATATTGATGATTAAGCGTTACCACGTAATTCGGCCTTGATGGTTTTGTTTATTATGTATTTGTTTATTTGAAAAAAGAATTCGGAGTATTCAAAGAGACTACTCTAGTAACAATAGACCGACTATATAAATAAACCAAAACACTAGTTCAGCAAGTTTTCGTTACGCTTACGTTACAGTTACGGTTCTGTTAAAATATCCAGTTAATTTCGGTTCGGTTCGACTCTTTGATATAAATTAATGTAATATATTCAGCGGATGTTTATGTTTGCATATTTGTATTCTAAGACATATACAGTGGAACCTCGCTTAACTATACTGAGGAAGAAAAAAATGATTGATAAATATGTCAATAATATTATGTCATATTTTTGTGATGTTTTTTTTATTATTATCATAAATTCATGCGTTCCATGAGCGAACCATGAGCGTTAAGCGAATCATTTTTCTTACAATTAATTCTGGTTTCACTGTATTATTATGTTGTTTTTTTATAAACCTGAAAGTATTCACATTTTAATTAAAAGTATATATAAAAAAAAGAAGAAATAATGATTAGAGGAAGACGCATTAACTATCAATTATGTATTGTTTGTGAATGTACATAAAAAAATCTAAATAATATTTGCATTATTAAATGTAGTTAATATACTTAAGTAACGTTTAATAATAGTTAAGGCTACACTGTTATCGTACGTGTTTCCTTGTAAAGTTGACTTTTCCACAAGGTTAAAAGTATTACATAATTATGTAGAAATTTAATTAACTAATTGCATCTTAAAAATATATTATTTTTGTTAACAAAAATAAATAATCTTTGTTAATAAAAAAAGTTGTTTTTTGCTGAAGAGACTAATATTTTACTATTCAATGTAAGATTTTCTTTTAAATATTTTTTAGTTTAAGTGTCTAATAAAAAAATAATCCAAATTAGGCCCACAAAATGTTATATTTTATAGTTAGCTGTGAGTTCTAATATAATTCGATTTAGTTATTACAACTAACTGGGTTATACTAATTTTGCCACATACATATATCAAATTTCGAGCATCAAGATTTAATTGGAATTACTGAGTTTTGTTGACAACGTTTTGATATATAAAAGAAACATTTGACATATATATTTTAACATATTTTAACAAAATCCTATATAAAATTATATTTTTGACTTAACATCAACTATTAATTTGTCGTGTCCCAGGGATGGAATTCTGGACACAGTGGAATATGTGGAGTCTCAGTAGTGGAATTAAATAATTCAATTGGTTTAAAACAAGTTTATTATAATAATGGTACTCTAGGGGTCCTT